ACCGTGAGGTAAGTCTTTTCTCTACCACGATGCCCGCCAGACGGCGCATCGGAACATTCGAACATGATGCGAAATCTCAATTCATCATGATCGGGAACGACGATACGAGGCGTGTCTTCGGCAACTGCTGTTTAGTACAGCAGGCCATTGCGAGTCGTGTACCGATCCAAAGAGGAACGGTACAGAGCTGGTAAATCCCTCATTGATTTACTGGATGGATTCACCAGATGATCCATCAATCGCAGAAGATCTTTATCTTCCGCGTATGCCTTTCGTACGTCGTCAAGTAAACTTGACGACGGGACACTGACTGACAGTGTCGCAACAGTGGGCTTGTCCTCACTGTTGATTTGTGCGTCCGGCTCGAAATCGGGCCGGCGCGAAAGCGCATCAGCGACGACATTGAGTCGTCCTGGTTTATACTCCACGGAGAAGTTATACTCCGTGAAGAAAGACAGCCACCTCGCCATTCTTTGCGAGAGGTGTGGGCTGTTTACGGCCGTGCGTAATGACGCATGGTCCGTACAGACAACAAACGGTCTATCTCCCAAAAGATAGACGCGAAACTTAGCCAGTGCGTACTTCATGGCAAGGAGTTCCTTGTCATGCACTGGGTAATTACGCTCAGCTGCTTGCAGCTGACGCGACTGATAACAGATGACGCGCTCCGCGCCATCTGCATCGAACTGCATTAACGCACAGCCGATTGCAAAATCGCTGGCGTCACAGACCACATGAAATGGTCTGTCCTGATCTGCAATCGCCAAGATCGGAGATTGCATCAAGCTTTGCTTGATACCCTCAAAGGAACGCTGGCACTCAGCGTTCCATGACCACTTCACATTTTTCTTGAGCAAGCAAGAAAGATGAACAGTCATCTCGGCGTAGTTGCGCGAGTACTTGTGCAAGTACGCCGCTAAGACCAAGGAACTTACGAAGTCCCTTGACATCGACTGGCACTGGCCAGTCGGTGATCGCCTTGACCTTTTCGGGACCAGGGCGTACGCCGTGTTTGCCGACGATGCACCCAAGAATTGGTATTTCGCTAGCCGCGAATATACACTTCTTGAGGTTGGCGTACAACTTATGCTTTCGCATAAGTTGAAGAACCTTACGGACGTGAGTTGTGTGAACTTCAACGTCCGTCTTTCCGTCCATAGCCCTGCTATGGATGAACACATCATCGAAATAATTCGGTGCGAAATCCCGCACCGGTCTCAACAGATTTGTAACGCATCTGTTGAATGTTGCAGGGTCATTACTCAGCCCCTGTGGCATAACTAGCCACTCCCACAGCATACCGCTGGGGGTGCTCACTGCTGTGAACGGAACATCTCGTTCACTCATAAGGATCTGATAGAATCCGTCCATCATATCCATGGACAAAAAGATGGTACTCTTTGACATACCATCTATGATTACGTCCTTTCTTGGTATCGTCGTCTAAGCCGGTACCGTTGCAGCATTCAACTTGTTGAATGCGTGCACTATCCTCCGTCCTCCTGTGGCCTTTCGCACACAGAAGGTCGGAGAGCTGTGAGGGGATGTCGATTCCCTCACATGGCCCGCTGCTAAGCGATCGGCAAAGAGCTTGTCGATCGCTATCACTTGTTTGCGAGGCAGTGGCCACTGCTTCATGACACAATATTTCGAGCCCGGTTTGAGCTCGATCTCGTGTCGAGTGTCTTTGTCCTTAGGCAACTCGCAAGGCACGGATTCAGGGAACACATCCTTGATTTCGATCAAATCCTTATACCAAGGATTTGCCTGAAGTGACTCCCAGGATTGAGATCCATGTCTCTCAATCCGAGTCTTCTCATCGATGACACTTTCGTCCATCGACGAACTGCTGAGAACCCTCTCGGTCTCAGTAAACACCGTTGCCGATCGAATATCGGTAACGTACTCGTCCTCCACGACGAGTACACAGATCTGCTTGACTTTGCCACTACGCAGATCACGCAAGAACCGTTTCGGTTCTAGCGTCGGCAGCTGAGTTATCTCCGAAGTTAACTTCCTCCGAAGTTAACTTCGGAGGCGCAACTAGATCAAGCGTGTAAGCGCCTACGTTTGATCCATCATCAACCGAGACATTCATTGTCTCGATTACCTCCTGGGAAATCACTTTCACAGGATCTGGGTGAGCTTTCTTCACAATGTAGTGATCATCTACATTGTGTTCTTGTACATTCGTGCTAACGACCGTACCACAAGTGAGGCCATCGCACTCGCTCGTAGTACACCCACGTGAGTGTGGGCGTTCGAATATATTCTTCAGGTGATAATCTGAGGAACAAGTAGCAGGTATCGTAACCAATCGATACTGCCAACTCACCCTTGGCTCGTATCTCCTGAGCCAAGGCAACCCTAAGATGACGTCGAACTTGTCATCTAGTTCAAGCACGATGAAATCATCATCCTACTGTTCGCCTTTTAACGTGTAATGGATTCCGACTACACGTTTCTTCACATTGATCGATGCGCATGTCGCTAGGCGCACCGTCATCTTCGTTGGAGGGATCTCCCGCTCCACGAAGTTAAAACTTCCTGCCTCTAGCGACTGGCGACGAACAAAATTGTTCGACGCCCCACAGTCAACTAGGGCACGAAGTGACAAGTCTTTTGTCACTTCCAACTTCAAGGTGATGAGTGACACCTCATCACCAGGTGCAGAGACACACAGAAATTGTGTGTCAGGAGCAACCTTCTTCAGAAGATTTGCAAATTCTCTTGATGTTGCTGGATCATTAGGGCGCTCCGCCCCTACTGATCCCGACCGTTTTTTGATGGTCCACCACGCTGTTGTGACTTCGCAACAGCAACGGACCCTCGCCCTCCAGTTCTTTTTGCTGGTGGCTGAACACTGCGCTCATCACCGCGAGGTTCTGAGCGGGGGATACTGCAAACATATGCATAGTGTCCCAGTTTATGACAGCGATGGCATCTCACCATTCGCTTGTCATTCGCAGCGCGAGGTTTCTCGCCCTCGACATTATAGAGGTCCATTGGTTCTGGACCTCCGACTGCTAATCGTCTCTGTGGACGATGCGGGGTCAACGTAGCGTGAGACTGTCTCACGCTATAATCTTCTTGCTCCGCTGCGAAGATTGTCTTTGAGAGCGTCTTTAGCTCTACGCGGAACAGGTGGTCCCTAACGGGACCATCTGAAAGCCCTTGAATGAAGATTGTGATCAACACAAACTCACTCACAAGGTTCACTACCATGCAGCTTGCAAGGTAGCGTACGTGCTGGGCGTAAGCGTGAACCTTACGCTTACCCTGCTTGGTTTGCAGGAGCTCCGAAGGAGTCCTGAACTCTGCTCTGGGCGGCTCGAACGTCTCACTGAGCAGGGTCTTGAAGATTCTCAACGACCCAAACACATGTGGGTCGTGCAACTTGAGGTTCAGGGCCCAAGCTCTGGCTTCTCCTGCCAGGTTAGACTGAGCGAATGAGACTTGCATTCGCTCATCATCGATGCGACGAGCATCGATGGCATCGTCCATCTCGACGAACCATCTCAACAGGGAGTCTTCCTCGACTCCCCGATACTTGGAGACCTCTAGTTTTAGAGAATCCCGTCGACGCTCACGCGTCGGCTCTGCGGACTGAGACTGTTGTTGTCTCAGTGCTTCGGTCCGCTGGTGATCTTGTTGTTGTAACAAGGTCACCTGCGCTCGCGACTCATCAAGTTCTCGTTGCAAGAACTTGCTAATGACGACATGTTGCTGATCCCTATCCCTTGAGGATAGCATGGACCAGATGGCTTCCTCGCCAACGGTCGACCTCATTCGTTCGGTCGCACTCCATCCGATGTCGCTCAAATGGGAGTAGCTTTCACGGGTTCCGTGAAAGCTGTCGCCGTCTACATCGTCCAACATGTTCATGTTGGGCGATGGAGTTGTGGTCCTTGGACGGACTACAAAGTGCTACCAGGTGTAACGGGGCACTGTCGACTACGTACTGGTTGACCAGTACGGAGTATACTTCCACTGACGGCAGTGGTCGACAGTGCCCTGCTAGGTGTTTTAGGGAAAACACAGAGGAAGGAAAGGAGACTAAGTAGTCAGACTAGTCTCTTGGTAAAAGTAAAACTGTATTAATATAAGTAAGTCCTATAACTCCTTGTATCTCTGTTGTCCTGACTTAATTATACTAATATAACTTTATGTATGATGACGTTTACTCACCACCCATTGCGCGCGTCCAGCAGCGATTGGTGGGTTGATATCATCACGATATCAACCAATGAGTAGACCCTTCGGTCATCCCAACAATATCACCATGTCTTGTGATATTGTTAAAAGAATATTCGACGTAATATTCTTTATTGTCAGATTGTTTTAAATGACAATCTCATGTAACGGGCTACCCCGTTACAAAGAGGGCCGCCGGCGTCGAAGAGCCAATAATTGTTCGCAAATCGCATGATTCGCATCATGTGTCCAAGAAATAAAAACTTTGTTAAGTATTGCTGTGTTTGATCGAAATGAGAGCTGATTTGAATTGATTGCCAAATGACGAACACAAAAGTCCGCCCAAAACCCCCAAAATAGAGTTGGACGACCGGGTATGGCAAAGAAATAATGAGCACATCAATGCGAAACTGGCTGACAAGCTCCATCAACCTCAGGTCGACCTTTGTAATGATGCATTTTAGCTCCTTTAGCTAAAATATGTTGGTGCGGCGTTAATGCGCTGTAGCTTTGTGTCATGTACCGAATACTAAAAGGTTTTCAAAATTGATTGCACAAGCTCCTGATATCGTGGTCGTCTAAATGTCGGTTGAGCTGGCACATAATCGACATTTTCTAGCTTATCCTTGAAAACAAGTCATGTAAGTTCATGGCGAGCATTGACGATCTGAAACCGAGACATGTATCGCGAAGGTACCGACGCGTCATTGAACCACCGACTACCGCCGTTTCGCCACCGATTGGACTGGATAAAAAAAGGTCGGACGAGCAGCGCACCAGATCCACACATTTGTGGTAATTCATCAATGACACCCATGTCGTCCACTGACGCTGCTGTGCTGAAGGGGTTCTCTGCCTTGACACTGGACGCGCCTGTCCCTGCTGCTCCCGAGGCGACTGCTCTGTCTATTGACGAGAAACTTGTCAAGCTCGCGGCCATCACTGGCGCTCCACTGTCCGCTGACGTCGACGCTCAGCTGCGCGCGCTTTTTGCGAAGAAGGTGCACCCTATTGCCTACGATGGCTTCGAGCCCTCAGGCCGCGTGACGCTCGCTGCCGGTCTCTTGCGTGTCCTGAACGCCCGGCGACTTCTAGACGCTGGCTGCCACGTGCGTCTACTGGTAGCGGATACACACGCGCTGCTCAACAATAAGTTTGGCGGTGATCTCAAGAAGCTCCAGAGCGTCAGTCTCTACATGGTCGAAGTGTGGAAAGCGCTCGGTCTCGACGCTGACAAGTCGCCACGTGTCGAGGTCATGTTGGCGTCGACAGAGACGGCGCGTCATGCTGGTGTCTACTGGTCACATGTGCTGGACGCCGCGGGTCGCTTTACTGTCGAGCGCGTGCAGCAGTGTGCACCCATCATGGGCCGCAACGACAATGATACCGTGCACAACACGAACCGCATTTTGTACCCACTCATGCAGCTCGCTGACGGCTTCTTGCTGCAGGCTGACATCTACCAGCTCGGAGCTGATCAGGAGCGTGGCAATGAACTAGTGCGCGAGTACGTCGCGCAGAAGGATCAACTGGACTCACCGGTTTTCCTCACGCACCCACTACTGCTCGGCTTGAAACAGGATCAGTTCAAGATGACCACTACAGACGCCGAGTCTGCCATCTACGTGGATGACACGGCTGCAGAGGTTAAGGCCAAGATCAAGAAAGCGTTTTGCGTACCCGGTGAGGTGGAAGGCAACCCGGTTTTGAACTACATGAAACATTTGGTGTTTCCCTTTCATGCGGAGGGGGTTACGGTAGAACGCAGTGAGAAGAACGGTGGCAATCTCACTTTCACTACGTACGAAGAGCTAGAAACGGCTTTTGCGACCGGCGAGGTGCACCCAGCGGACCTGAAGCCGTGTTTGACCATGTACGTTAATGAACTGCTTGAGCCAGTCCGCAAGCACTTCGCTAGCGGCCCACTCAAGACGATGTTGTCGAGCATCAAGAAGCTCAATGTATCTCCGACGCCCGATAGCGACAAGCTGACCAGTCTGTCGTTGCCCGGATTTCCGGAGGCTAGTAAAGAGTGGAAGGCGTCATTGTTGTCTCTTGAGGAGCGCTTTGCCATGGCGCGCTCCGTTGGTGAGGAATGCATTCAGGAGAGTGAACTGCAAGCGCTGATGGAGAAGAAAGATCACCCTGTGTGCTACGATGGCTTTGAGCCGTCAGGGCGTATGCACATTGCCCAGGGCGTTTTACGCACGGTGAACGTGAACAAGCTTACGTCAGCAGGCTGTGTGTTCCGCTTCTGGGTGGCGGATTGGTTTGCTATGCTGAACAACAAGATGGGTGGCGACTTGGACAAAATCCGACTCGTGGGTCAGTACATGGTAGAGATTTGGAAGTCGGTAGGGATGGACATGGCCAACGTGGAGTTTTTGTGGGCGTCGAAGGAGATCATTTCACACAGTGCTTCGTACTGGTTGCGTGTGATGGACATTGCTCGCCGCACCACCATTGCTCGCACGCTGAAGTGCTGTACGATCATGGGCCGCAAGGAAAAAGAAGGCATGCAGGCTGCGCAGATCCTCTACCCGCTGATGCAGTGCGCTGACATTTTCAACGTGAAAGCTGATATTTGCCAGCTGGGAATTGACCAGCGCAAGATCAACATGCTTGCTCGCGACTATTGCGACCAGGCAAAGATCCGCTTCAAGCCTGTCATTCTGAGCCACCACATGCTCATGGGCCTCAAGGAGGGTCAGGAGAAGATGTCGAAGAGCGACCCAGAGTCGGCCATTTTTATGGAAGATGCGTCGGGCGACGTGAGCCGTAAGATCGAGAACGCCTTTTGCCCGGAGGGGGTTGTGGCGGCGAATCCGATTCTGGATTACATGAAGCACATTATCTGTCCGCGCTTTGGTGCCCAAGGCGTGAGAGTGAAGCTCATGGACGCGACGGAGGAGACGTTTGCAAGTTATCAGGAGCTTGAAGACGCCTTTGTTGCGCGTCAAATCAGTGGCACCGATCTCAAAGTGGCACTGGCCAAGTATCTGAACGAGTACGGCCCAGCTCGCCGTTGTCTTGCTCGCCTAGGTCGTTTTCTTGCCATGTTACTGACTGTGTTTGCATGTATGTGCTTTGATGTCCTGTAGAATTCTGGAACCTGTCCGCGAGCACTTTTCAAGGGGTGACGCCCAAGAGTTGTTGGCCAAAGTGCGGTCGTTTCGCATCACTAGGTGAACATAATTGGCGCTAAACCGTCGAATCGAAGAAGTCGGCGTTTGTAAATATCGGCTGATCTCGTCAGGACACGTGGACAACCTTGTCAAGTTGGCGGATGCACGATGCACTGCTAGCTGGCAAAGAAAAAGAAACGAAAAACAAAGAGCTTGTATTTCTCAAGTCACTGCCTAAGTCTACATCGATTGAAGAAGTATCTTCATCGAAGCGGCTGCCGCCGAGCAAATTCGCTTTCACAGTCCATACTTCTTTCTCGATGTAGGTTCCCGAAGATCACAAAACCGACACTTCCATTGGGCTGGTGCTAGGGATCGACTTCCTAGCGATGAAAGACGGCGTCAGATCCCCGTTTTGGCTTGCACCGATCCTGCCGCATGTGCGACCCTACTTTCGCGTTTCTTAGCGTAGTGACTTTCTTCAGCCGGCCGACGAGTTTTCTGGGCCAGGTGCTCGTGCTTCAGGGCTGCGAAGAAAGTCGCCAGTGTCGTGGGTTTGCATATTCTGAAACGAAATGTTTTACATTTCGTCAGCGGTAATGGCATGATCTTGCAGGCCCTTGTGTCTGGTCAACAGATTGGTGTACAAGCCTCTCAACCGCAGATTGTTAAACCCTGAGAGCGACTTTGTGTGCATGTCGCCAACTTCTGAGCACGTTTGAATGGGCTCCGCTTCGCAAACGTACGCGTATCGATCAGGGCGTCCTTCGGGGATAAGAGATCTTCGACTAGTTTGTTATGCACCCGGCAACCTGTTTTTCAAAGTTTCGTCACCGATGGTGTCGAGCAAGTCCGCAAACACACATTTGCTTCGAGGCTCGTAAACGCCAGGTATGTGCTTCCAGTTCGTTTTGCCACCCGGGGGTCTAACGCTGGCGAGCATGATCCAGCCAGTCCATAAGCACTGTCGCAAGCATGGACTTCATGTCGGTACCGACACATCCGCAGCTGTTGTGGGCTTAGTCTGGAGCGTCTCACCAAGAAGTCATGCCGATATGTAGTCGGATGCTGGCCGACATACTTCAGCCAGTCTTAAAGCACCAAAGAAGTCATGGACTTTGCATCAGTGCCCCAAGAATAGCCGCAACTGCTTTAGAGCTTGGCCTGTGGCCACCCCAAATCTGCGACGCCTTCAATATATATTGGCAGCGCAGTAGATTGTCAACTCGGTACTTGGCTCCTCCTGAGATCCCAACTCGGTATGTTCCGCTCCTCGTTGATTGGGGTTTGCGGTTCTCCGACTGATCGAACGCTAGAAAGAACCCAAGCGTCGATTGACAACCGATGCGGTTGCATCCCTAGGTGGGCAGCGGAATGGCGAAGCAACAATTTGGCCGTCACCACCGATCAAGGACTCAGCTTTTTCCAAAAGAAAGAGACTGGAAGTCGAAAGCACAACGCGGGGCTTGTGCGTGGTAGCGGGAGACTGGTGGAGAGTGCTAGTTGCTGGTGAATCGCAAAGTGGGAGACGCATGTGGCAACTTTGCTTTGCAAAAGTGCATGAACCATCATTTGTTGTTTCTGCCCCAGCGGCTTGATCGCATAATGGACCCGGGCTTTGACCCTTCTTGGCTTTCCTTAAAGAGGCAAATAACTTTTGCCCAACGTCGTAGATTAGCACCACTCATCTGATCAGCAGATAGCGGGATCCCATCTAGTGCGTGGGGCTTTCTGGCACACATCGGATTCGGTGAGCAACTTGGCTTGTACCATTTTGTAGGGCTCTTTCACTTCGCCGCGCGAAGTAAACAACATTCGACAGTGTCTGGCGTCCCGAGAGAATGACAAGCATGTAACAGGATGAACGGATCCAAGTTGGCAGAATTGTGCGATGGACGCAAGGGGCTACCGACAACTCAGCTGGAAATGTACTGCATGAAAGGGCATCGCATGTCTCCTGCCGCAGCCTCGGAAAATAAGGAGAAGTTTCCGGCAATGGATATCTGGTGATGGGACGCGACCCAGAGAAGGCTTTCGTACGTACATCAATCGTGGAAGGAAGCCACTACGGACTCGGGGGAGTAAGCCGGATCGACTTGGCTTTCTGCTGATACTATAAGCTACTGACAAGACGGATATATAGATCGCTGGGGCACTGGTTGAGTGAACTCAATGGGCCTCACTTAAAAGCCAAATGTAACAACATAGATAGTTAGATGCTAGGCCGTCATCTCACCGCCGAGTGACAAAACCTATGTCTCGCTTGTTTGCAGCTACCGGGTCATTTGCAAACGCCACTATGAGAAGGCCTCATGCAACTGGGCTGCATCAGGGTGCATATGTTGATGCTGCTGGGAATTCACATCGAGGCCGGTTTGTCCGAAGCGCTGAGAAGGAGAATTCGGATGTCTTTACGTTTGGTTTGGAGCTGTTGATGTATTCCTGTGGGTCCTAATGATAGTAGAACGTTATGCGTCGGCCAACACAACGAAACTAGATGCACCGTCAAGCGATATTGGATGTTGTAGTGCATCGTGGAAGAATGCGGAACAGGATTCCAGGAATCGCGCTTGCAGTCGTTCCAGCTCTTCCACGTCTCCGGTACCGACGCATGAGCCAAGCTACTCTCCATCGCCACCCTATTTTTCGTCTTCTTGATCCTGATCCTGTTTTCCGTCTTCTTGATACTGATAGCGCATCGCCTATCAGTCCTACTGATGATCGGTCATTCGCATTCGCCGGGCAGAACGATGAGCTAGAGTCGCAGTTGTATCATGAACGCAAGGCCGGTAGACCGAAAAAGTAGACAGAAGAAGCGACAGTGAACGGTCCTGCTTACACACCTCGTTCCGTCCATTCTTGATGCATTGCCAAACTATCGTGTACAAACTCGTCAAGATCCGCATCGACCTCGCTCGTCGAAAATGAAAAATTGATGCAAAGTATTGCTGCTGAGATCTCCGTAGAATTTTTCCAACATGGACACATCAATCGTCCGAACATCGAAGAGCATCTCGCTAATGTTGCTGTGGTCGCTGGGAACGTAGTAAACTCTCGTGAACCTCACTGCATGTTACAATGTGACAGGAAGTCAGGGACCCAACACTGCAAAACGCAGGTTCCCACGAAGAAGTGAGGTGCTCCAATCTGTCCTGTCCACGTAACGAGTCATCTCGCAACTTTTTAGCCGGCGCGCCCGAGCACTCGAATTAGAAACAGCGCGACGAGGTGTTCAAAACGTGTCAGATCTAGCGCGTCTATCTTACAACAACATTACAGCAACATCGAGCGACGCCACCAGTCATTCGTGCGTCATGAGCGTCCTCTTTGGCAAGCGCCGTCGTCGCCCTCTCTCCAGCAGCGATGCAGCAGCGCTCGCCGTGTCGTCCACGTCAGACTCGAAGGCTCAGCCACGTGTTGAGCCAAGACCCACAGGCGACGACAAGGTGCTGGTAGGAAGCGGCGACTCGGCATCTGCCGCGCTGCTGTCGTTCGTGGACGTTGGTGTGGACCAGTGGCTGGTTAAACGCTGCGAGTTGCTGGGTATCCGCCACCCTACGCCAGTGCAGGCTCAGTGCATCCCTCCGATTCTCGCTGGACGTGATGTGATTGGCTGCGCTCAGACAGGTAGCGGCAAGACTGCGGCTTTCGCGCTGCCGATCCTGCACACACTGAGCAAAGAGCCGTACGGTCCGTTTGCTCTCGTCTTGACACCTACGCGGGAACTGGCTTTCCAGATTGCAGACCAGTTCAACGCCTTTGGCAGCTCGATAGCGGTGCGCTGTACTGTAGTTGTCGGTGGCGTGGACATGCTCAAGCAGTCGCTGGCGCTCCAGCAGCGACCGCATATAATTGTGGCCACGCCTGGCCGCTTTCGAGACCACTTGCTGCGTGTAGACCCACCCAACATCTCGCTGGTCAAGTTTGTAGTGCTGGACGAAGCGGACCGACTACTGGATGTGTCGTTTGCCAAGGACCTGAGCTTCATCTTCGACAAGCTGCCGACCAAGCGACAGACGCTGCTCTTCTCTGCAACCATGACAGCTAATTTGGACAGATTGGAGCAGACGGCGCTCTCGGATGACGCGTTTCGCTTCGACGCGACGCCTAGTGTCAAGACAGTGGCAACGCTGAAACAGTTTTACCTGTTCATACCAGAGCAGGTCAAGATGACATACCTTGTGTATCTGATGAAGATGCTAGATCCAAACGACGACGATGCAACGGAGGATCAGGAAAAGCGCAAGCGGTCAAAGGGCGATCGCAAAAAGCAGGATATGGAAAAGCTGCTAACGACCACAGCACTCTCATCAGCTCATCCTGTGCGATCCATGATGATCTTTGTATCCACGTGCAAGACGTGCGAGCTGATCGGCGCGATCAGCAACGAACTGGGTACCAAATGTGAGACGCTCCACTCGATGATGTCGCAGAACCGGCGTCTGGCGGCATTGGGCAAGTTCAAGAGCGGTCTGAGCCACATACTCATCAGCACCGACGTTGCGAGTCGCGGGCTCGACATCCCCGAGGTCGACATTGTGCTCAACTTCGACCTGCCGCGAGACGCTGACGACTATATTCACCGCGTGGGTCGTACTGCTCGTGCTGGACGCAACGGCCAGGCCATTTCTCTCGTCACGCAGCACGACATCGAGTTGCTGCAGAACATCGAAGCGCAGGTGGGCAAGAAGATGGACAACTACGAGCCGGAGGTGCCCGAGAAAAAGGTGCTCAAGCTGCTCAACGACGTGTCTACTGCCTCGCGCATTGCCAAGATGAAGCTGACTGAGCGTGGTTTCGACGACAAGGTGCGAGCTCGTAAGGCCAAACGCCAGCAACAGCCACAACCGCAACATCAGCACAAGAAGCCGAAGCCGTCGATATGACAAGGTATAAGTCGTGACATCTCGTTCGAAGCCGCGTCAGGTAGTGGAGCTGCTACCCATGGCTACACATTCATTCGACCTAGTCTCTCGCAAGCTTCCCGTCGGGTGGATGTCACTAGAACCTATAGCGAAGCTATAAAATAGATTTCCACCCACCCACCCACTCACAAACAAAACGCCTTGAAGCAGTCCATTTTTGCCAATTTCGTCCAGTCATGACGGCCGACGTGAACGCCGCCGCGGCAGCGTGTCCACACCCGCCCAAGACGCCGGCCAAGGGATGCCCCGTGGACAGCGCCGACGCAGCCGGTCTGACCGCCGAGCTGATGCGCATTGCAGGCCACGCGTCGGGCGTCAGCGTGCACGGATCGACAGCAGCGGCTGTGCCGAGCCTGTCGCAAGCGCGCGCCGTGTCTTCGATCCCGAAAGGCGAAGGCGTCACGTCGGTGCATCAGTCGAATGTGAACGAGGACAAGTGGGAGTACCCGAGCGAGGAGATGTACTTCCGGGCGATGAAGCGGAAGGGTTGGGCGCCTGATGCGCAGCAGATGAAGACGATCGTCGCGATCCACAACACTGTGAACGAGCAGAGCTGGCGGGAAGTGCTCAAGTGGGAGAGCGTCCACGTGTGAGTGCGGTGGTGGACGAGTTGCGTTGATCCGTTGTGCAGTGGACGTGAGGCGGAGCTGACTGACACTTGTTGTGGCTTCCCTTTTTCCTCCATGCGTTGGGAATGGGCAGAGCACCTGAGCGCGTCAAGCTCAAGACGTTCATGGGCAAGCCGACCGAGTACAGTCCCAAGGCCCGGATCATGAACTTGTTGGGGTGGTCCGTGCTGCCGTTCGATCGACACGATTGGATCGTCGATCGGGACGGGAAAGAAGTGCGCTATGTGATTGACTTTTACTCGGGGCAACCTGAGCCAGGCCGTCCACTCAGTGTCTATCTGGATGTGAGGCCCGCGCTTGACTCGGTGGAGGGTCTTGTGGACCGCGTGCGGTGGCAGTTTCGCGAGAAGATCCGACCGCTGCTGCCCTTTGGTGGTGCCGCGTTCGGCGGCAGTGCTGCAGCTGTGGACACACCTCGAGACACGACAGACGAGCAAGGCGGGCGCTCGAAAGTCACGCCCAAGACCGACTGAGGTGCGTCGGTGTGTACGTGGGCACGATGTGAAACTGTAGGGATCGATCTGGGCGAGGCGGCAACATCTAGCAAGGACAACAGAGCAGCAAAGTATTGACAGCATGAATGAAAGAGTCGCGACGCCTCATTTGATTTTCAGTGCAGTGCGGGTGCGCTCGTGGCTCTTACAAGCCGACGCGTCAAACGACACTTTGTCTTCACGAACGTAGTGCTCGGTACAAAGCGTGCGTGTCTGACAATCCGACTGGGTCGGCAACGTGGAGAATGGTTGAACGTCATGAGACTCGGGTCGGACCATGACAATGAGACACGGTGGTGCTGGATGACGTTGGCTGGTCGAGCTAGTGGAGCTTGTTCTTGTTCAGGCCTCTGTGTTACAAGCGAGAATTGGATCGTGGATCGTCATCATCGTCTGGCATGTCAGCTAATCGACGATAGAAATGGTGGACGAGAACGAATCAGCCCGGTTGTGGTGGCTCAGACGGCGTTGGCGCTCGTTCGTGAGATGCAGCAGTGTTCGGCGGTACCACGTCGAGTCTTCTCCGTCCTCAGCAGGATCGCGAGTAGACACGAGCTGCGTGAATTCTGTAGCGTTGGCTTCTTTGCAAACAGCGCTCGCTGTAAACATCATCATGGGGTGAGCTTCACCAAGCTGACGGCGTTTTCGGTGCTTGCGTGCTTCCTTCAACGCGCGCAGTGCGTGGCTATACCATCTGCCGTCCTTCTCTCCACTTGAGCGCAATTCTGTGAGCTGCCTGTAGTCCAAGTCAGTGGAGCTCAGACTCGGCTCATACATCGCAACGGAAGAAGAAGTCGCCGATGCCGATCTCTGCTGCCCCGACGAATGCTGAGGTGTCTCTTGTCGATCAGATAGGACGTTGTTCCCGTCAGCGCCAGATAGCGGAGACAGGGCGTCTTCCCGATTGTCAAGTGTCGCCGCTCCTAGCTTGTCACCAACCGAAGCGTTTTCGACCGCATTCACTTGCTTCGGATCGTTCGAGCTTGACGCACCAGCCAACGCCTGTTCATTGTCATCTTGCTCAGCCGTGTTTACCACGTCTGGTGTGTCAAGCGTACTCGCGATCTGCTGGCGCAGACGAGCTGGGTACTCACCGCGCGATCGCTGTAGCACAAGGTGGTCTCCGATCTGTGCTCCCGTCACCAGGTGTTTGGCTTGCAGCGCACAAACCTCTCGCTCACGTTCCAGAGCGTGCTGTGATTCAAATGCACAAACAAGTGTTTGCTTCAGCTGCGTCTTCAACTCAGCCAACTGCGACACGAGTCCTGCGTTGGTTCTTTGGAGACAGTCACAGCGCGCCATGTAGTACTCGCAAGCTGTTCTCAGCAGCTGAATGGTCGTTGTCTTGTTGAAAGCAAGAGCTCCTTGACATGTCCGATCGTCGAAGTGCCGCTCTTTCAGGGTAAGCCACGCATCCTCACGGTGTGACGGACTGCGCTCGATACCCTTAGCGTTTCTGCCCACAAGCACGTCTGCTAGCCACCGGCTAAAGTCGACCATAGCTCTGTGTATCTTGGTCGGTGTGTCCTCGAACAGAAGGCAATGATACTTATGCAGCAGACAGGCGACCTCGGCGCGTGTTTCGGAAGCAGCCATGGACAGCACGTTCAGCAAACGACGGATACTCCTTACAATGAGCTCTCGTAGGTACCGGATCTCGTCCACGATCCACTAACGAAACCACATTTGCAGCAGAGAAAGGTCAGCAACACATACCAAAAAGTCGAGCAACACCGGTGTAAGCAGAAGCGATGTCGTCATTGACTCACCATGAACCGAGCTGGTCGGGTCGTCAACGATACGAATGTCAACGTTGTCGCTCTTGATTGTGTCCCGAGTTGACTTCTTTACAATGAAGTCAGCCTGGCGCACGCCTTTGCTTGAACCCGTTGGATGTCCTGTCCCGGAACTGCGACATGCGAGCAGCTATGCGTCTTTTTCGCCAACCAGACATACTTGTCACGCTTGTCAAGTGCGTCATCGAGCGACAATACTTGTTGCACTCTCTTACTTCCCCTGCCTTCATGGAGTCCGGCCGTCGCATTTCTCGCGTCCCAGCGACCGACCGACCGACCCCACATGGCTCAAGCAGTCTCCGCCTTTTCTCATTAGTGTGAAGACGTCGCAATAACCGTCAGCACCTGCCCACCGTCGTCATCTCGAGTCAACACTCTTTGCATTCTGTCTCGATTCTCTGCTGCGTTTCTCTATGCGACGTTCACACCTCGAGCCGGAGCGCGGTCCCCGCCACACGCCATCGCCAGCAACATCGCGGAAAACGCCATTACGCTCACGCCCGTGCGTACGGCATGCAGCTTTCCCCACCTTCCCAGCATCTCCTGCATCAACGACTGACTGCAGCGCAGACACTCCTTCGAGTCGACGAGCTGGCAATTCAGCGCGAGCATCTTGAGGACCGTATAGGGCACAATGCCGCCAATGAGGCAGCCGCTCGCGAGCCAGAGACTCGGCGCACCGGCACGTGGTCCTCGCTGGGTCTGCAAGAGCGACACACATAGCGCACTTAGGCCGCTGCCCACCGCCAAAGGCCCCTGCATGCGCGCGGCATAAAAGTACATGCGGCGAAAGTAGGCGGCCTGGAACGCCAGCGACGCGGTCTCGACGAGCGCTGGTTGCTGGGCCACGCTCATGTACGTGGACGCGCCAGCGAAGATGCCCGCGAGTCCCGTGGCTGCGACTTGGGCCAGCGCTTCGGCGTCCACGCGCATGCAGAGAAGCGGTGGGCGCGCGTCGGCGACCAATCGTTTTGTGGCTTGAGACGAGGCATCCGGTTCGGAGCATAGACGACGCGGGGGCTGTTTGTTTTTGGTCCGGCGCTATTGTATCACACAAGTCAGTACAATTTGCTCAATGTCGAATTATCGCGAGTGCAGAGAATTGGGATACTTTCGAGCGTTCGATCGTAAAAGGCGATAGAGATGTACGTGAAAGATGGGACTTGGCATGGACCGATAGCAGCCGCTTGGATCGTTTGATGCAAGTTGGGCCCCTCCCATTGCTCACGTCCCTCGCCTGGATGCAACACAGCTACGTCTGGCATCAACAGGAAGCAGAGCGCTGTTGGTCTGGACAAAGGAACTGCAATCTGCTTGTTTTTTACCTGGTGGTATCTACATGTCTGACAACAACAGCCTCATGATGTACGCAGCGCCGGCACGAACCTTACGAAGAAAATGTTCCGCACATATTGGTGAGCTCTCATATCCTCTCGCGACAGCCAAAGCAGAAGTCGCTCAGCGCCGTCGTCGAGTATTGAGGTCTTATCACATGCTTCTTCAAACGCAGCTCACAACTGTGCACTTGCAGAACTGCGACCGCCGCTACTGTCGGCCGCGCTGTAGTCGCACAGTACTTCGACGCAGTTCATAGCGCAATACGTCACTCCAGTAAGCGCAATACAGCGCCAACGTCATCACAGACGTCTCGAATGAATCAGGTTTCCCGCTCGAGGTAGTAACCGACTTCAGACACATGTACGATATGGTCGCCGTGTTTTATTCCGCGAATTAAACTCTTTTTGTAGCGTGTAAAACCGCGTGGCTGCTCTTGCGCCCAAAAGTCCAGCGCTGCGAACGTACGCGCCCGCAACGATATGATTGCACCTGTTTTACCACTTTTTTCACCTTCGTATCGTTAAAATCGACACGTGCGTTCAAAACAATTTTTTCGCTGTCCATTTTCAAATGAACGCCCGACCCCATGCAGCCGCAGACGCGCGATACAGCAGACGTCCTACCGGCGCGAACGCCTTTCGCCTGAAGAGCGACGACAGCCGCCGCACGAACTACAGCCGAAGTAACAGCTCGACAGGCTCTGAAGACGTCGACATGAGCGACGCGTCTCCCGCCCCGTCGAGTCGGCTCCAACGTCCGTCGTCGTCTGCGTCTTCGACAGTGTCGTCGACGTCCAGTCAGAGCCGCCACTTGTTGCGCGAACGTACCGCAAATGCCCACCAATCACCTGCCACCAGTGCGTTGACGGACCACTTGTGGCGAAAGTCTGGAGACACGAGAGAGAGACGGAGAGAGGGAATGCTAATTGACGCGTCGGTTGTTGTTGTTGTTGCTGCTGTTGTTGTTGTACAGGTCGTTTGATGGCGCCAACTGCTTCTTCACTAGCACATCGGACGGCATCACGGCTCAAGTCTCCGTCGGAAACTGGATCGGTGCCGTCGTATGCTCGACCGACAGCCAGCAGCACCACCACTGGAAGACACCAAGTGTCGAGAATCCCGTCGACACCAACGAAATCGACGTACGGCAGCAGTACGAGCAGGTACCAGTCCGCCACATCAGCTTCTGCTGCACGACCAGCGCCCGCCCAGTCTTCATATGCGGGTGCAAGTACAACTAGCCGATCGCAGACCGACTTGTTGGGACCTCAGCCTTCCTGTGGCACAAGCAGGATGCAGCAGCGTACAGCAATTGCACTACCGCATCAGACTCGTGTCGGAAGAGCTGCTTCGGACTCAGATACGGCAGAGATGATGGACTACGAAGACGAACTGGATCCACGCAAGCAACAGCAGGAAGAAGCAATACGGCAACCGCCAAAAGCGTGGAGCTTGGACGATTTCGAGATAGGACGCGAACTGGGTACTGGAAAGTTTGGCCAAGTGTACCTTGCGCGCGAAAAAAACTCGCGCATGGTTGTGGCGCTCAAAATGCTAGTGAAGGAACAGCTGAAAGCTGCAGGCGTGGCTCATCAGCTGCGCAAGGAGGTAGAAATCCACTCGCGTATTCGACATGAGAACATACTGCCGCTGTATGCCACCTTCCAGGACGCTACACGAGGTGAAGGGTAGAGCACTAGTTATCGTATGGTCTCCATCTTGCTCACTCGTTTGTCTTGCTTGCAACCATTTGCCAGTCTATTTGGTTCTGAAGTACGCTGGGGGCGGTGACCTGTACAAGAAGATGCGTTCGATGCCTGGACGGCGGTACGATGCGTGCCTTGGATCGTGTATCCCACTGAACTGAGATGTTTTGCTGTTGCTTCGCTGTCTAGGTTCCCCGAGCGCCAAGCCATGTTGTATACTGCTCAGCTTGTCAGGTAAGGAGTGCATTCTCGGGCAATGACGTCGCGTTTTGCAACTTAGACTGTGTCGTGTGCATCAGCGCGTTGGAGTCGTGCCATCACCAGCACGTGATTCATCGCGACATCAAGCCTGAGAACCTCCTGTTGTCTGAAGAGGTGTGCTTGCGATTACCTGAGTTCCCTCACTCGTCGCCTATGATGCTAACTTTGCCTCGTCTACTATTGTTACAGGGTACAATCCAGCTTGCTGATTTTGGCTGGTCATCCGCTAACGTGACAGCAGCGTAAGTGGTCTCGATCTCACTGCGTGCCATGTCAGCTTCAACCGTTGACTGAACAACACGCTTCCGTCATGCCTTAGTACTCGCCGCGATACGTTGTGTGGCACCCTGGACTACTTGTCACCGGAGATGATTCGAGTGCGTGGGAGGAGTTTCCATCTCTTTTAAACAGCGCCATGATCGTCACTTCTGACGAGTGGTCCTTATAACTGGTGATCTAGGGCGAGAAATACGACGAGTCGGTGGACATTTGGGCGGTTGGAATCATCATGTACGAGCTTCTGGTGGGCAAGCCTCCGTTCGAAGCCCCGGTACGCGTTTGTTTCCCACGGCGCTCATGTGCTGTGCACCTTCGTGCTAATGTCTTTGTCAACTGTAGGGGCAAAATGAGACCGTCGAGCTCATTACCGAAGGCCAGCTCTACATACCGCCCATGGTATCTCTGGCGGCAAAAGATCTATTGACACGGGTATGTACACGTGCATCTATCGACCGCTTGCGAAAACGTTGCACGGCTTCTCACACAACTCCGCATTGGTACAGATTCTGCAAAAGCTACCGGAAAGGCGTCTCTCACTGCAGGAGATCAAAGCTCACCGCTGGTTTGGCCCCCTCGCCGCCCGTCAACGGTCTGTTCGACGTGGCGTTTAGCGTTGTAGATTTGGTACAATAGGCAGATCAACATACATGCCAGCGATGCCGTTAGTGTCATTACAATCTCAATGTACTCGCTATTCTGCTGCTGTGTGAGCATGCCCGCCCCTGTTCCCATCCAGTAGCTCGTCACCTATAGGGCACATGCATAAGTCCATCGCGTGCGTAGCCCGTCGCACGTCGAGCGTGCACAGAAACAAACGGCAACGAACGGCGCCTTGAGCTCTTGTTTTGAGAAGGCAAATTGCTGACTGCCGTGTTTCTCAAAACAAGGTGAGGTTGTCGACCGTGTATTGAAGTCGAATGGCGAAAACTCAGTCTTAAGTATGCATCGAGTCCACTGTGCGATGCCATAACACGGTGTCGCGCGTGCCAAAGGACGCACCTCGACACAGCGCCTTACAATGCGCCGAAGAGCCCAGCTTAGAGGCTGAAGGGCGCGCGAGAAGAAGCTTCGAAGCTTAGGCCCGCCGGACCAAGGCCCGCGCGTGCGACCAGAGCACGTGTATCACGTGCACCGTCCGATCATGAGCACCGGCGTCTCCCCGCTCCACGTGCAGGGCCTCCGCGCGCGGCTGAACCAGCTCCGGATGCCAGAGCTCCGCAATATCCTCATGGACCTCAATTTGGCCCGCTCGGGGCGCAAACAAGAGCTCGTGGAGCGCATTGCGAGAGAGCTCGAGGTTCGTCGTCACTGCTGTTTTCTCGTGACGTGGCGCGGGGCGCTCATTTTTTCTTGTGTGTGCCTCTTCGTGTGGTGCTCGCAGCTCTTTGCCGACAAAGCTCGAGGCACGACGTCTGCTGCTTTTTACGCGGATCGGCTGTCGTCCGGCATGCGGAGCATTGAGATGCAGATGAGGGGCCGGCCGAACTACACGCCGCAGCCTCAGGTGATGGTGCCGAGCGACTACCGGGTGCCACAAGTGCCGATTCGCTACGCGCCGATGGTCTCCACGCCGCCACTGGACCGCTCGATGCCTGTGCCAATGTACGAGCGCACTGTCGCAGCTTGTGTGCCAATGATCTACCGAGCGGTGAACCCCGCGCCGGTGAGCACGGCGGCGATCACGCCTACCAATGGCGTGGATCTGTACAGTCCAGCAAAGGCAGCGGCACTTGATGGTGCACGGTGTTTTTGCACGATCGAAGGAGCATCTGGAAAGGTGGTCAAGTGTGTGGCCTGTGGCTTGGCTGTGCATGCCAAGTGTCATCAATTGGTGACGGTGCGGTGTTGAGGGAATGCTTGCACGACTTTGGTGTATGTACTGACGGTGGAAAACAAACTGTGTGCTGCATGTTGTTGTGCTTGATAAAACAGCTGAGTGCCGAGTGGTACTGCGAGATGTGTCGAGGCGACAGCTACGACCCGTTCTACCGGGTGCAAAAGACGGTGTTTGAACCGACTTTTGTGCGCTTTGCGAAGCCTGCATGCTCTCTTCGACTTGAGTACTATATCGCAGACAATGACCTGAACAACATGTACGCTCATCGGGATCCGAAACCTGGGTCGATGACACCGGGTTCCTTGGAGCTGCAGCTGCGGTGCTTTGCCGTGAAGGAAGATCTTGCTGCAGGACACTGCTGGCCCCCGTCTACGCAACTCATCATAAACGGCTTTTGTGTGCCAATCACACAGCGTGCCCCGCCAGGCCATGCAAACCCTTCGAAAGTTCTGCGAGAGTTGCCAGCGAACATCTTCCAGTACTCCCGAGTAGGACGAAACGTGATTGATATTCGAACAACTGAGCACCCGTCCGTCTTTGAGTTCATGGTACAGATTGTAGAAGTACGCAACATCGACGATCTCGTGAACGAAGTGAAAGAAGCGTCGGAGAGTTTAACGTATGATCTCGCGAAGCAAGAAGTGATCAAGTCGTTTGGTAGCGAAGACGAAGACGACGTTGTTGCCACCGTCACGATGCTGTCCGTCCGCTGTCCGTTGGGACTGTGTGTGATCAACCTGCCAGCACGGGGTGTGCACTGCAAGCATTTGCAGTGCTTTGATCTGAGAACGTTTTTGCTGTTTAGTAAGAAAGCGCGGTCGAAGGCGTGGCGGTGTACAGTGTGTTATCAAGTAAGCTGAGGGCCGCTGTCTTGATTGTCGATGGTTTCTCAACATGACTGACCTTTCCTCGTGTGTGTGTGTGTTTGTTGACCGAACTTGTGTAGTTTATAAAGGCCGCAGATTTGCGTATTGATCCATATTTAAAGCAGCTTCTTGCTGACGTTGAAGGCGAAGATGAATTGGAGGAAGTCGAGATCTTTCCGGACGGATCATGGAAACGGAGGCAAGAGGAAGAAATGGTGTCCGAGCCCCAGGTCAAGAAAGTCAAAATGGAGCCTACAGAAGTTACCACCTTGCCAGCAGATGTCAACTCGACTGCTGCAGCACTAGCGACAATGCCCGACACTCCATGTGGACCGCCTGGGTCAACTCTGAATGCACCAGTGGAGATCGATTTATTATCCAGTGATGACGAAACTGAGGAAGACGCAGCACGAAGAAACACGTCAAGTGCTGTAGCTATGCCCGCAGCTGCACCGGTATTTGCGCCCACACCTGCGCCACTGCTGTCGCTCGATGACGACATCGACATTTTGACCGTGAGCAGCGACGTGTGGGACACGCCATCGACACGAGCGTCGAGCAACACAACGAATGACGGCAATTGCGGCGAATACTTTCCCTTCCCGCTGGACGAAAACTTGTTTCCCGCCACTGGTGCGGCCGCCAGCGCCGCGAGTGCAACGACTTCGTCGTCGTGGATGTTCTCCGTACCTGCCAGCACGATTGTAAGCAGTATGCCGCCGCCAACAACGGCCATGCTCGTGCCAAGCGTGCCAACGCCTCCGGACGTCTTGAGCCGGGCCGAGTTGAATCTAGCGAGCTCTATGGCTTCGTTATCTCGGAACCACAACGTCAGTAACCCGTTCGACGAGCGCAAACGACGTCCCGCACGGCCACTTCCGACAGCCGCAACGGCGTCAACAAGCGATATGGATATCATCTGCTTACTAGACAGCGACAGCGACTGAGTGACTGGTTTGCGAGGACGGCGGACGTAGTACCGATCACGTTTAGTAGCGTAGGATGAGGTTTGCAGGACGTGAGCGCCGATAGTGTACCAAGTAGACCCAGAATAGTCGTGGAAAAAGTGGATATTCACCATCTTGTCACCCGCGGGCAGAAACTATCCGCTTCGTTTATTTCCGAATCCACACCACCACTGCATCGTCCTTGTGACCGCCGCGCCCCCGCTTAGTCATGTCGTCCACCGTACTCGAGCAGCTGCGCGCCGAGCAGGAGGAGATCGAGGCTCTAGAACGCGCTGTTGTGGCCACGCTGGGTGAGAAGCCGCGCAACGTACGTACCTCACTTGAGCTGCTACACGCGGTAATTCGTTGCAGGGGCTATTTTGGGTACTAATTATCCGGATTTTATTCGGCTGGCAGCATCGCAGTCGAGTTCTGCATGGACACAAAGTGAGCAAGTTGCTGGACAAAGTGACGGAGCAGAGCAAGCACGTGAAAGAGCTGTACGAGGACGAAGATGGGTACGTTCGCGTGATCTTGTGGTCGCGGTGGTCGACTTGTCGTGGCTGATTCCAGTTCTGTTTGCTACTGTCCACACGATTGTGTGTCGCTGATTCTATTCTGATTACAGGATTTTTGCCGAGGAGACGGATAGCATGCGTGGACGAGCGGTCTTCACGTCGTTCTACGAGCAGCTTAAGTCCATCCGTTCGTTTCACCGCAAGTACCCGAACTCGATGGTCTCTCATGAGCTGAACTTGGACGAGGCGTTGCACCCGAATATCCGTTTTTCAGGCGAAGAACATTTTGGGAAATATGTGGACCTGAACGAGTTCTACACGCGGTTCTTGAACATTCCCGAGCTCAAGTGGTGCGTAAAGAACGAGATAGGTGGACGAGCAGAGTGTGTCCGATGTTGACTGTTGTGCGTGTTATAGGCAAGCACGAAAGACGCAGGAGGCACTGAGGTCGAGTGCCAAGATCAAGGGAAAGAGGCAGGCTACTACTGGCATGTCTATCGATTACTTGGCGTTCCTTGCGTCTTTCTCTGACTTCTCGGCCATTCCAGCAGCACAGAAGACCCAATCGGTGCCTTACAAACAATACCTGAAGGACTTGAAGGAGTATTTATTGGACTTCTACCGACGCACGCAGCCTCTCGTGGACCTGGACGACGTCATTGACGAAACTTCGGCAAAGTTTGAGAAGCAGTGGGCGCTTGACGAAGTTCCTGGATGGAATGCGAGCGATAAGGAGGCCGACGTTGGTGTGGGCCAGAATTCTAAGCAGCCTACTGCTGCTGCTGGAAAGACGACGGACGATGCGAAGTGCCATGGTGCAATTTCTAACGGTACCAAAGCAGTCAAAGACTCTACAGCAGAGCTAGAGACGAAGCAGAAGGCCGTTGCTTTTGACGAAATCTTGATCCGTCGAATGTACGAGCTTCTCACAGAAGTAGTGCAGGGTACGATTTCATATTTGGAACTGAAGCAGACGCGCACACACGAAGAGCTCCAAGCTGAGATCGAAGAGGAAGAGGAAGGAGCGTTCTCGGATGTGGATGTGGAAAACGAAAACGAGGATGATGACGAAGAAGAGCAGTTGTATAACCCTTTGAACCTGCCGCTGGGTTTTGACGGAAAGCCGATCCCGTACTGGCTGTATAAGATGCACGGGCTTGGCGTCGAGTACAAATGCGAGATCTGTGGAAACCACAGCTACTGGGGACGACGTGCATTTGATCGCCACTTTCAAGAATGGCGCCACGCCTTTGGTATGCGCTGTCTCAAGATTCCCAACACGAAGCACTTCCACGACATCACACTGATGAGAGACGCCATTCAGCGTAAGATTGTTTTTGTGCTGCTTGCCGTCCCGGATTCTAAACTAATTGTCGGACGTGCTCGATGCGTTTTGCTGTTTGTAAAAAGTGTACGAGAAGTTGAAAGACCAGATTGATGCCGAGAGCTGGAATGCATCCAATGAGGAGGAGTTTGAGGACTCCGAAGGCAACGTGCTCAATCGAAAGACGTACGAGGATCTGGCCCGCCAGGGCTTGCTGTAAACATCAGCGCGAGTCAGAAATGGCTTGTGCCACAGATAAGCGACGACGTGCTCGTCGCCTCGTCTTCAGTAGGACCGTCTTGTAGCTCATTGGTAAGCAATCGTGTTTTTCCGATCGGCAACCGAGTAACTTCGACGTCCAGTTTCTGCTGTTTGTGCTCGTGCTATGGTTTGACCATCTCAATGCTTTTCTCTGTGTTAAAGCCGTCAGGACAGGTGCGCTGCTTGTACTTGATCACGGCTTGGTTGACTATCTTGGAGGTAGAACACGCCATCCAGACCTCGTGTCGCTTCTGCAAGAGTAACTCGTGTGTCGTTGTTTGCTCCAGTGTATCCCAGTCTGACGCTGGAGGCATCATCAGCAAAGGGCTGTCGCAGTTCATGAGTGTCTCTGGCAGATCGTACTTGTAGTAGTAGTGGCCCTTGTGGTCTCCTTCGACAAAGCCGTATATCTGGCAGTAATGGATGCCGACCGGTGGATCACGCGGCACGACAACTGCAATGGTGTCATCGCACGGGTTGGCAAGCGTCTCGTCGACAAAGCTCCAGTACTCACGCTGGTTCAGCGCGAGTCTAGGGTGCGTGACACCCAGATTTGTCAACAGCGTGTGCTTGATCCCGTGGTTTGCTACTGCCAACGCGTACGCGACCATCTCGACCATCCAGCCGTCATCCGCCTGGCGCCCGCGCACCACGAAACTGCAGTAGTCGTCGACCATGATCGTCATGTCGTGGTGTGTCATGATGTACGGTGGTCCGGTACTCGAGTAGTACTCGCGCGCGTCTTCCCGGGAGACATTCATACAAGGCTGTCCAGTGCAGACAGCCGCGAGCTTTTCACGGGCTTCTGGCGCGTACCAGCCATCGTTGACGTAGTTGTACCAGTCTTGGGCGATGGCAATGCCGTCAACGACAGTGTCGTTCACTGTGGACACTGGTCGCGTACCGTGGTAATATGTGGTCACGTCTCGCCCCGTGTTAACCTCCAGTGGCTTGAAAAAGATCATGTCGCCGTCAATGAGCGCGATGATGTCGTGTGTCACTGGCGGCTGTGCGTTTTGCAAGAAGTGGCGCAGCGCAAACGGTTTGTTGTACGGCGCATAGTCGTCCGAGACGTGGGGCAGCGGGTGCGGCGAGTACGACGGCGTAAAGTGTCTCCGGAAGTCGTAGTACAGCGTGGGCTCGCGGCTGACTCGCTGTCGCTGGGCGTCGGAACATCCGGAGAGGATTTGAGTGATTGGACCGCGCTGGCCCACTGAGACTGCCGAGTACTGCAAGACCGTCTGCAGCGACACGCGTCGGCCTTGATCGCAGCTCATGCTGAACACAATGTGGAGCTCGCTCGGGTCAGTGTTGCCTTGATAGAGGCCACGGGAGGCAGTTGCAGCACGTGTTGGTGGGTCGTCCGTGACGTTGTCACTGCTGCTGCTGTTGTCCATGTGGCTGTGGAGTTTCCGGCTGGCCAGCAACAGCGTTTCGAGCTCGTCGACGACGTGGGCGCTCCGCAGCGTCGTCGGCTCAATGTGCTGCTCTCGTTGACTCGGACGTGAGGTCGTGCTCTCGATCGCGTTGGGGCAGTGGAGCCATAGCACAAACACCGTCACGAGTGCTGTGTTGAGTATTACAGACGCCAAGTACCGCTTGGTGCGCGAGGGCTGAGGTCTTGAGCGGAAACGTCGTGGCGCCATTCGACTGCCGGTGAATGGAAGTGCGGAACGACAGTCCGTTTAAGTGGATGAACGTGCCGCTTGCTGCTGCCTTTGGCAGAGGGAAAGGCCAAGTGAACGACTTGAAACGGATGTTGTTGTGCTCGAAGACGAGACGAAGTGGCTACATTGTTGACGACGTCGCGAGGTTGTGCAACTTGACGTCTCGATCTTTGCATGTTGAAGTTGCCAGAGTGATGGTCACTCACTCACTCCGGTACTCACTCGTCAGCTGGTGACTCAGGCTCACCTGTCTCGGCAATGTTTCTACGTATATTTGGTGTAATTGCCGCCGTCGCTTTTGTTTTCGTTGGGAGCACCGAATTTATTCATATTTTACATTCGCTCGTATAGTTAGGCAAAGGTCGCAGTTCTTCCGACCACACCCAAGACGCAGCTGACAGGGTGCAAAAATCCTTTTTCGAGGCGCAGATTCGGTTCTGCACTCGGTCATTGTCTATCTCAACTCACCCGGCAGTCCCCTTTTCTCCCTCAAGTGTCCGCAGCTCTCCACTCGCATGAAGACGGCTCTGATCCCCATCGTAAGTGGCAGCACATTGTCATCGTGCTCTCGTGTGTACACGATTAGAGTACTACAGAACTTTCATGTCGACTACCACTGCTTCTACTACTTGTTTGACCGATCCGTCCTCCTACCACTTCACTTACTTCTGTAACTCTACTAAGTACGACTACTGTTTGTGTGTACCGGCTGCTGTTTTGCGATGACGACTGTAGGCCGACGGCTCGGAAGAGCTCGAGGCCGTCACGCTGGCCAGCGTCTTGAGGCTCGCTGGCGTCCAAGTGACGCTGGCCACGGTCGGGAACAAGTCGGACCGTATCGTGACCATGTCCCGCGACGTCAAAGTGCAGGGCGACGTGGCCATTGAGGACTGTACTGACAAGAGCTACGACCTCATCGTGTGCCCAGGCGTGAGTGTCTGTCTTGCCGACTGCTATTTGCTCCGTGCTGATCTCGTCCTGGACGAGTTGACTTCGTTTTTGTATGGTGTATCTTACTATTTTGTGTGGTGTATCTTACGATGTTGTATCGTGTCTTTTACTATTTTGTTGCTCTTTTGCTGCAGGGCGTACCGGGCGCAGAGCGCCTTCGCGACTCGAAAGAAGTGGTGGCGTTGCTCCGGAAGCAAAAAGACGACGGCAGGTGGTACGGCGCCATCTGTGCTGCGCCAGCTCTTGTGCTGCATCCCCACGGCCTGCTGCCTCCCGGCCCTGCGACTTGCTACCCGAACTTTGAATCCACCATGACGGGCGTGGACTACAAGCGCGAGGCGGTCGTTGTGAATGGCAACTGCGTGACTAGTCGCGGTCCGGCTACGACGATGGCCATGGCCGTGAAACTCGTCGAGCTACTCTGCAGCCGCGAGGAAGCTCAGGCGGCTGCTGATGGACTGCTGCACACCCCAATGCCGTAAAACGCTACTGCTGTCCCTGTCGACGATGCGGAGCATCTTGTGCTGCAAAGCTGCATGCTATACGCACACGGGCTGGAACTTGTGCTGCATCATGTACTTGCCCAGTTTGTCCAGTCCAGATTGACGATAGTCTTCCGCTATAAGACACTAACGTTAATGGATGCTGATGCGTTGTGAGGCAGTTGCTTCGATCTGTTGCTTTGCAGTGATTGGGCCGCAGTAGACCGACGAGCTCGCTCAGCCGATGCAGCACCATCAAAGCTTAGGTCTTGGCTTGGTATGTCGTGAGCGAGAGACCACACATCGATCTTTCCAGCTACTACGCTCTCTTTGGCTTCAGCAGGTGACAATCCAGCGGCGTCTACTACCACTAGAACTGCAACAATTGCCACAGCCGAACTCATCGGGCGTGTCGAACCAACATGCGTACATCTTTTCGATCGAGTCGTCCAAGTGGGCCCAACGGTGGCAGCTGCAGCAGTATGGACCGCTTCCAATTGGGTTGAGGTCATTGCTGTAGATGATGCGAAAGGTGCAGTCGCACTTGCAGCTGTCGTTCGGTAGCTGTCCAGTACTTTGCAGCCCACGAGATGCTACTGGCTTCGTTCTTGCAGTTGCAGCACAAACGGCGCGACGTCAATCCTAAGCAGCTGGAAAGCGATAGAGACGTGACAGTGCAGCGGCTATCAAGACGTCGTCGGTACGATACCAGTCGACAGCAAACTTCTTCTGAGGTCGTCACACTTGAGGTATGATGGGCCCTGCGCAGCTCAGATTGTCAGGCACAATCGACACTGTCCGCGCTAGCAATCGACAGCTGCTTCCTCTGGACCTGTTGCTTCCACAGGCTGTGTGGTTCGTGAACATGCCTACTTTCGGTCCACTGCAGACTGATCTTGGCGCATGCAGTATCCCTCACGGCATCAAGTCCAATACTCTGATCTCCAGCCGACACTCGGCCAGCACATGCAGCTGCAGCAGTCGTCAGGGTCTGAGTAGTGAACGCAGCAAACACCAGGACGAAGGCCTCGAAAAGCGACCCCGACAGTGCATCGACTACTGACGACTAGAGCTTCTTCGCCCTGACTCGACCCCATCAAGTCTGCCCAGTGTGAGGCAGTCTATCCGTCGGCGAGTGCAGTGTGCCGCAGCTTTGCCATCGCGCAACGCCTCACCCGTACGGTGCTGACCTCAACACGCCTTCACATCGTCCCGACTCCACATTCGTTGCATGTCTCTTCATCTAATGTCTCCACTTGGTCTCGTGGCCATTGGCCATCGGCGGCTCCAGGAACCCTCGAAACGTTTGCGTCTCTGCGTCCCATCGCGCGCCGTACCCCAATGCATTACGGATCTCCATCGTCGCGTGCGCGTGGGGAAGACAGTGTATGTTCTTCCACGTCGCACAAGCTAACAGCTCGCGAACTTTTTTCTCTGCACGCGCGTTCTTGGCGTGATCGTTTCCTTCGAGTGTGCCCCACCAGCCACTCGCACTCCGTGCGCAGTGTTTGCTGAACGCTCGTGCGCCGACCATGAGCGGTTCATTAGGTGTGTGGCGCTGCGTGAAGGCTGCAAGACATTGGCAGAGTGTAAGCGGAGGTACGTTGCGGCTCCCAACGGTCTGCTGGAAGCCCAACAAGGTCAGGATTCCACGTGAGCCCCCAATCATCTCGACAAGTGAGGTCACCGCCGCCAACGTCGCTTCCTCTACGCCCCTCTCGATCGTGGCGATGAGCTCGCGAACAACGCCGATAGGGACGGCAAGCACTCTCTCTCTGCTAGTGAACTCGGGCGTCACGCCCTCGATCGTCGCTGTCCGAGCTCCGGCCGTGCTCGAGCCTGTCAGCAACGACAGGAGCGGGTGCGCGCCCGTCTCGTGCCACGCACAAAGGATCACTGCCAACTGCGTCACGTACGCTGCACGTGGTATCCCCTCCAACGTGTCGCGGACTGTCACGCTCGCGACCTCATCGTCGCCACTGTCGACATGGTCGTCAATGTGCAGCATCTGCGCTCGAAAGCGCGCGGGCTCTTCGGCATCGTGGACGGACTGGTCGCTCGAAAAGTACGTTCGCAGAGCGCGCTCAATGCAAATCAACAGCGATGTGTGTGCGGAAAGAGCCGCGGGCGTCTGCATGTTGTATAGTGGCACAGTCACGTGTGACGCGGCAGTCCACGGTCGTGCCACGGTGGCCACCCATCCCCGGGCGTCGCACGGGCTCATTCTGAAGTTTGTGTAGCCACCTCGTGCACAGAGCAGCGACATGAGCTTCGAAAAAAACGCGCGGGTCGGTGCGACTGACTGACTGTCAGCTGTTGCGGATCGAGCGAGTGCCGAAGTTTGACGAGTGCGTCAATGCAGTGACGCAACGTGGTACAGTCCGCAACACGGTCGCCATTACGAGGGCGCGCACGGCACGCTCGCGCCCTTTTCAGTGCTGTTGTGATAGTCCCACGCACGTCGTTCGTGCGGAGTCCAACAGTCGTCATCACTGCCGATCGCTCAGTCGTTGTTGCGGTTGTTGTTCTTGTTGTTGTTGTTGCGGTTGTTGTTGTTGTTGTTGTTGTTGTTGTTGCGTCCTGGATCCAGCCGGACGCTGTCGCAACTGCTCGCACCCTCGTCATCGCTGCTGGTCTCGCACAGACGTCGACGCAGCAGCTGACGCTCCGGCCATATCGAGCCAGCACGACCTCAGCAACCCACCCGTCCAGCGCTCATCGAAAGACGCGCACGTCGAGGCGCGTCTGCAACGCCGGCAGGCACCGGCTTTCCCTGTTTCGCTGAAAGTCGTTGACGTGATGCGGCCGCAACTCGTCCGTCGCAATTGCGCTGAGTCGACATGCGCCGCCCATCGGATCATCCGACGCACGTGCAGTTGCGACGGATGTCGACGAGGAGTGATCAGACTTTGACGACGGAGCGGATTGTCAGTCTGGACAGCAGCCAAAGGCCGTGGACAGGCAGCACACCCACAAAGGTGTCAACGGTATTTGTTGGACGCCCGGCGTTCGACGGCGAAAACGGCGCTCAGAACAGACGCGGCGCGGCCGCCATCGTGGCCGTTTTCTCCCTCGCCAAACCAGGTCGCGCAGGTGGGCTGGCTGACTGACCTCAGGCCCGTCTTTCGGCTGGAACCCGATGACAAGCGCGTCCGTCGTGTGGCCTCCTCCAGACGGCCCAGTGGGGATGGAACGCCACTGGCGCACGCAGCTTCGACCGACTGACTGACTATCATATCCATTTCCTGCGCGAAAGGTCTGGATCCCTCGACCCGATCGAGCACGTTCGAAAGGCGGCGGCAACAGTGTCTGCACGCTTCTAGATCTTCTCTGGACGTGGTGACCACGTAACGTCGAACCAGTCGGTAGCGCACATTGGTGTCGCAACAACAGTCGGCGAAACGCGACCGCTCCCGAGACGACTGCCCCTCGAAAGTCTGACAGACGGCATTACGTGCGCGTTTTTCGCAGCCCTTCCGCAGACGCTTATCGGTATGTGTTGCTTAGGCACATTCACTCGGCTTGACGCCAGGCAGACCTCTGTGAGGCCAGTGGTCGCTAGTGCGCTGCGCTGGACAGACATTGTTCCAGAACAACACGCACAGCGATGAATCGGCAGATAGATAGACCGCGCGACATATGCGTAGCCGATAGTGGCAAACAAAGCACTTCTCACACAGACAAATACGCGGATTGATTGATGATGATGTCCATATAAGACGCGCTCGTAGTGTTACATTAGATTCTCGGATAAATAATTTCTCGACGTGCCGGAGCAACAAACTCCGTTCGCCTGTGCACGAGACCGCACAGTCCGTCCGTTCGTCCGTCCGCGTACGTACATGACGACACGACTGTCGCTCGTGCGCGCTGCTGCTGCTCTGTTCACGCGCTGGGCTCAATCACTGCGACTCAACGTCGTCAGTAACTCCATTTCCTACGATGTAGCCCATTGCAGCTTGTAAACAGGCCAAGTAGTAGGCCGCCTCTGATCCGTCCTGGGTCTCGTCAATGGCGTACTGCTCCATCAAATACACTTGCGAGTGCAAGTGCGGCAGCTCGCAGCGGCTCAGCACGTACACGAGCAGCGGCAGCAGCACATCTGCCGAGATGCACCCGCTGTCCAGGCCAAGACCTTCCTTCGCTTCGTGGTACAGCGTGCACACGGCGCGCATGAACGACACCAGCACGCTCGAAGGCACGAGGTGCGGGATCTGGTTGAACGTAGCAATGGACTTGCTAAAGATCTCCTCTTCCTGCGCTTCTTCCACCAGGATCTCGACCGGCAGACCGACCTCCTTCAGACTCGGCTTGCGCATCTTGGCCGTCTGTTCGCGCCACGAGCTATTGAGCTCGTCCAAGTCGGCAGCTGTGCCGCGGTAACACGCGCACGCGAGACGGCTAAAGACCATGTGTTCGACAAACACGCGCAGAGCGGGCAGTAGCGTCTTGACCAGCTTTGCTTCCACGGCCACCGCGCTCACAATCTCCTGCACGAGCGAATGCATCACGTCACGCGCCTCGCGGTCGTCAAAGATCGTCTCGGGACCCGACTGGCTGCTCCCGCGCGTGAACGACCGCATGGTCGTCAAGCACAGCTTGTCCAGTGCCTTCTTGAGCTCGGGCTTGAGCAGCTTCTGGCGACTCAGGAGCTTCTCAAAGCGCACGAGCGCCGGCGTCGGCTCGTCGCGGGCCGACGTCATGCTGTCCACCTGCGTGGTCAGCAGCTGCTCGAGCGTGAGGCCCGCGGGCTCGAGGTTCTTCTGCCGGTGCAGCTCCATGAGCTTGCCCAGGTACTTGGCCTGCATCTGCAGCACCTGCCGCAGCCAGTCGTCCGTCAGCACGCGGTCCGACTGCTCAATGCCGTCCAAGAGCGACTGACTCGCGGCAAAGCTCCCACGGTACCGCTGCGACGCGCTGAGCGCTGCTTCGTCGGCCTCGTCCAGCGCCAACATCGTGCGCATGTCGCTGAGCACGGCCAGCAACCGGTTGCCCGTCGCGACTTCGGCCACGAGCTGCATCTGCAGCAGCGCGACCTGGTCGCGTCGACTCGAGCTGAGCCAGCAGCTCACGCTGCGCAGGAGCTCGCGGCGCTTGGACAGCCGCGCCTTGCGCTTGAGCACGTGCTGGCTCTCTTGCTGGATGCGGCGCGAGAGCAGCTCGAGCGCCGACGAGGCCGCGGCGTTGTCGGCGACGGCAGCGTCGAAGCTGCGCCACCGGCGCTGGCCGACGTCGGCGGCGGGGATGGCGTGGTCCACGCCCCCGAACGAGAAGGTGCTGGGGATGGACGTGCGTCGGCGCAGCGCGGCCGCTTCGGACTCGATCAGGGCGGCCGAGAGCGACGAGGCGGGCGCGACGACGGCTTTGCTGGTGAGCACGACGCGCTCGGCGGCCGTTGCGCGCGACACGTTGAGACCCTCGAGACCCATTTTGCGCAAGAGGGGCAAGTCGGAGCGGACGAGCGAACAAACAAGCGAACGAATGAACAGCGCGACGTGGGCACCAGAAGGGAAAAGCAACAATGACGCTACTGTTGCTCTTGCGGCGGCTGGGGCTCGAGGGGGCAGCAACGTTGAGGAGAGCGGCGGCAGAAAAGGCGCGTTGTCTTGGGTTTAGGCACGTGCGATAGGTTTGGGCGTGCGTGGGGGGCGCAGAGCACGGGCCGCTTGGGGGTGCGTGGATGCGTTGCGGCAGGGTATGCACTGCTGCAGGGATCGAGTGGCACAGGGCATACAACTGCACGGGGCGCGCGACAGGGCGTTGCTTGCGGCGCGACCGTGCGGCCGCGCGCATGTACGCATAGAGGTCCCGAGATTTGTATTTGCGTGCGACTACGGGGCGGACTGCAAGCGGTCGCGCGCCACATGGTGTTCTTGTTGCACGAATTCGCTCGAGCTCGATGACCAACGCCCATGGAACATCCCGTCGCCGCACCTATGCTGCCTGTGCCTCTGCCCGCCAGCTGGCGAGCGTGGATAGGTGTGACCACACAACTGCCCCGCGGCGACCCACGCAACTCGAGCTGCCCAGAAAGTATTCGACCGCTAGCAGCTGCGGGCCGCCGCGTGGATTCTCGCTCGCAGTGGCCGCGGCGACGACCGCGGCCAAGATCTTTTTAGTGGCGGACGACCGGCCAGCTTTCTCAGAACCGGAAATAAAAATCAAGCGTGCTGTCGGTCCGCCTACTTGTCGCCCTCTGTCTGTCCGCCTACTTGTCGCCCTCTGTCTGTCCGCCTACTTGTCGCTCTCTGTCTATGTGTGTGTATGTGCGTTTGTGTCTGGATGTCTGTCGTGGTCTGTCGTGGTCGGCCGGGCTATCTCCCCGAGTATCTGTCTATTTGTCCATTTGTCCGTCCGTCCGTCGGTGTGTCTGTCTATTCGTCCATTTGTCCATTTGTCCGTGTCAGTCTATTTGTCTCTCCTGCCTGTCTGCCGCCAGCTACTACTACTACTACTACTACTTCTACTACTACTACTATCTCTAGTTGTGCCATATCGACCGTAGCCGCGTCGTGCCAGCAGCGGTGCCGTGACGAGCCACCTCAAGTGCCTCGAGCGAGCGAGCGCGCGCGCACACAAATGAGCCAGCGCAGAGCTCTTGGCGCACTCTGGGGGCTGTGATCTGTTCTACGAAACTGTCCTGTCTGACCCACGCTCGCGTTTGGACCACCGCAACGACGATCGCCAAGATGCGGACCTCAAGAGGGGACGAGAGGGGGGGGAAGGCAGGAAGGCAGGAAGGCAGACGCACTCCGGCCGTCACTCGCTACGAGCAGGCGGCGGCGCTCGCCACGTGGCTCGCGTGCGTCGACCGCCGCGACTTGGCGTCGCAGGCAAGAGAACGAAACTGCCTTTTAGTCTCCAGAAAAAGGATGGGTCACGGTGCCGCCGTTTCGAATGAGCGCGGATCGCGGCCCCGCCCCGCCCAGTCTGACGCGAGAAAATGGGTGATAAGGAATAGAGCGGCGACGCGCACGCCGCGCGAACGTCTTTTACCCGCCCCAGATGCCGGCGGCAATCGACTGATCGAGCAAAGAGTCTGTCACGTGCGCACGCACGCGAGTCGATCGGCGGCCAGCGACAGGACAGCGGGTGCGCGTGTCTGTGTCTACGTGTGTCTGTCTGTTTGTTTGTTTGTGTGATTGTTCGTGACTGTTTGTGTCGGTTGTCTGTGCGAGCGTTTGTCGGTTTGTGTCGGCGCTGCTTACGCTGCCAGTCCGCCTCAAGTGGAAGAGCCACGCGCGAGAGCGAACCGGCCGCCTCTTTTGGCGACAAAGGGGTCCTTAACACGACGCGCCCGCGCAACACAGCCGACCGTTACACAAGGCGTTGATTGTCGATCGGACGGTTACCGCTACTGCACCGAGTTAACGCCCCTGCGCTGCACCTCGCGCTCGACTCTGCGACGTGCGCAAACGTCGCAACGAGCCACGCGCAATCCGAATACGGTCGTTGCTCACTGCGTCTTCTTGGCCTCGAGCTTCTCGAGCGCACGCTTGCGCAGCGACAGGTGCGTCGCCATAGCGGTCTACAGCACATGACACACACAGCACAACGTTAGAGCCAGCAGCAGGAGACCGAGCGCCAACGAGAGCGACAGGTCGGCGCGCGGGGCACAGGGCACTGCTACGCACACCAGCGAGCAGCCACGTATGTACGCACCTTGCTCAGTAGCCACGTCGGCACGCTCTCGTACAGCCAGATCTGCAGCGCGTGCGGCCAGTAGGGCGAGAGGAGCGTGTCGCGGCCGAGATGCGCCACCGACGCGCGCGCGTACGTCGCAGGCGACGGCACGAGGAAGCTCGACCGGCGGATCTTGGCCAGCTTTGTCGACACGAACATGGGCACGTGGCACTGGACGTGCACGTTCTTGGCGCGGTATTCCGCTGCGAGGCAGAGCGTCAACTGCTCAATGTACTTCTTCGTCGCGCTGTACTCGCTGAGCAGCGGCACCACGAGACGGCCCGAGCCCGAGCTGACGTTGACGATGGCGCCGCGTTTGCGCTGCACCATGCCAGGAAGCACGAGCTGGCTCAGGACGGTAGCAGCGGTCACGTTGAGCTTAATGAGGCTGTCGACGCGGTCGGCCGAGAGCTGGTCAAAGAACTCGGGAAAGTCGTACGAGACGCCGACGTTGTTGAAGAGCACGCCAATGTCCTTCACGTGGTCCAGCGTCTTTCGTAGCTCCTCGCGGACACTGACGTCGTCGATGCGGTCGAAGTTGACGGCCAAGATCTCGACCTGTGCGGTGGGGTACTTGCGCTGGATCTCCGCACGCACGTCCTCGAGACGGCTCTGCGTGCGGCTCACGAGCACCACGTTCATTCCCTTGCGCGCGAGCTCCATGGCGAGCGCCTTGCCAATGCCGTCGGTGGCGCCTGTGACCACGCCCCATTGGCCAAAGCTCTTGAGGCTCTTGGCCGGGCGGATGAAGAACGTGTAGAGCGCAAGTAGCAGATGCAGCGCGAAGCGGACGAGCACGAGACCGCCCACGAAGATCGAGACTTGCACGGCCAGAGGAGACGAGGCCAGAGCCGCTTGCACGGACGTTGGCGCGCGGTCGAGCATCTTGATAAATGGCAAGTCAATTGTAGCCACCAAACATGAGTTGCAGTGGTGCCGTGTGATACGCGTATCTATTTGGTGTGATGTCATCCGAACTTTAGACCCTCGCAAAAGTACGCAGGTCGTACTTTTCGGATGAGCGATAAAGTAGCCACGACATGTGGTACAATACCGGTACACACCCGCGGCACACCTGCAGCAGCGATAAGAACAAGTCAGACACTTCCACATTCGACGCGCCGAGTAAACATGGGCAAGCGCCGCGCGGTCAACAAGATGCTGACCATGTCGGACGGATACTGGGGCTTCGTGCACAAGAAGCGCTTCTACCGGTGGCTATACGCCTCGCTGACGTTCTTCGCCATCTTTGCCGTGGTCGTGGCCTTCTTTGACGTCGGCGCGGGCACGTCGCACGCTGCCCGCTTCGTGGCCAGCAAGTACACCCAGGGCGAGCTGGACGAGAACCAGCGACTGCTGCAGTGGATGTATGTCTTTTACCCGACGCCCTTTGCGTTTTCGTGGTTCCTCGTCTACTTTGCCAAGTTCCTCTTTTGCTGGAAGATCAAGCGGCTGCGCAAGGCGCGCAACTACAAGTACAACCTCATGCTGGCGTCGCTCCTTGTGGCTGTGTTCTACGCCGTTGTCTTGAAGTCGGTGCTCAAGATGACGCTCTACTCGGGTCCGAAGCTGCGAAGTGCGATCGTCATTGGACTCTGTGAACTCGGCCTCGTGGGCATTGAGGTGTTTGACGAACGGAAGCTGCGCAAGGAACGCCACGAGCGAAAGCGGTTGCTCCGGAACCGATTGGCAGCTGACGACGGGCAGACGCGTGAGCAAGAGGAGCAAAAGTCAGATGCATCGCATGGCCTGACACCGGATAGACGCTAGCGGTCGTGTGGCTATGCTGAAGGGGTCGAGAGAGTGCGTCGTGGACATGAACGGATACGTCCGCATGTACAGAAAGGAGAGTCGTTGTGTTCCTGTCGCATCGGGGTGGAAGGGGCTGGTCGGAGCTGTCGTGCCTGTGTGTGCTTGTTCCGCGGATCAGTTGGAGCATCGCAGGTGTGGTCGAGGGGACTCAGGTGCAGCTGTGCAGACGTCCGGGCAGTACGTACTATTTATCTGGATGTTTCTGTGTGCTGCGACCTGCTGGCCGAGTACGTCCGTAGCACATAAACGCGTCCTTGGAAAACGTGTGGTCAACAGTTGTTGTCCCGAGCGCTAATAGCTTGTAACAAATTGTACGTGTGGGTTGCACCAAATTGTACGCCCTGTTGCTTTTTCGTGTCGCCCGCGTGCAATGCACAGCACCTGTGTAGTAAACTGCATGTCAGAGACGGACATTGCAATGTTTCAGTTGCAAATGTTCACAATACCGATCGATGTCAAGAAGCTCTGCCTGATACCGGTTGCACCGAGTATACCTTTGCGCGCACGATATTGTTGTACCCACGAGCTCCATGGTGTGCACGACGCAATTATCAGAAAACAGACCCACCCTCGTCCATAAACAACTCAATATTCGACCAGCCCCTCCTCCCGCTTCACCGTTCGTGGCTCCGACATGGGCAACGAACCCAGCAAGCCGAGCCGGCAGTCCCGGTCGGCGCTGCCCTCGACCGATGCGCCGAGCAGCCCACACGCGATCGCCGCCAGCTCGGAGCCGCTCACGGCACTGGCTTCGGACCAGTTCACCGCGCTACCGCAAGTGACGCAAGCTCTGCGAAGCTGCGGCCTCGAGCACTGCAATCTGATCATTGGCATCGACTGTACGTCGCGCTCTGAGTGGTTTTTCGGTCGAGTAAAACCTCAATATGTTTCTTGGTCGCTCTCATGGACCGTATCTGTGCTGCGTCTGTGTATACATGTATACAGGCACGAAATCCAACGAGTGGAGTGGCAAGCGGACGTTTGGGGGCCGCTGTCTGCACGAGATCGACGACCCGAGCGTCCAGAACCCGTACGAAGACGTGATTGAGACGATCGGCAAGACGCTGCGGGACTTTGGTGCGTACCATCCGCCGCATCGTTGTGTGGTTCACCTGGTGATACTCAGCCTGCGCTGGTTTTGTGCGATGCGTGCGATGCAGCAGACAAAGACAATCTGATTCCAGTCTACGGCTTTGGCGACGAGTTGACGTGCGACCGTGCGGTGTTCACGTTCGCTCAAAGCGACGACCAAGTTGGATTTCCGCTCGAAGGTCTTCGCTCGCGGTACCGAGAAGTGGTGCGGGACGTCGTCATGGCGGGCCCGACCTCCTTTGCTCCCATTATCAACGAGGCCGTGAACATTGTCAATCGCACGGGAAAGTATCACATACTCGTTATTATTGCCGACGGACAAGTGACGCGGTCAGTGGACATTCCGGCCCATGCAGTGAGCAAAACCGAGAAGGAAACGATCGATGCGATTGCTTGTGCGAGCAATTTCCCCCTGAGCATTGTCATGGTGGGCGTGGGCGACGGGCCATGGGAGTCTATGATTTACTTTGACAATTACCTGCAGCACAGGAAGTTTGACAACTTCCAGTTCGTAGAGTACCACAAGATCACGTCGCAATTCAGTGACCCGCAGATTAAAGAAGCACAGTTTGCCTTGCAGGCGCTGATGGAGATACCCGATCAATATCGCACGATCAAGGAGATGAAGTACCTGGATCGCGGACCCAATCGAGAAGATACCAAACTTCCATCTGTCGACGTTTTCCCGCCGCCTCAACGGACGCAGGATGTCTATGGAAGCCACCACGACGGCATTCACCGGTCGACTTTGCAGCAGACGCGTAGTGCATATCCTGCAGTGACGTCAGGGCGATACGGGCAAGCAAGATCGCCGACAGCGCCGCTCTTCCGCTCGGCAGACGGTGCGCACAGTGGACTGGCGCACCCGGCGCTACAGTCTCGCACGTCACGTGCTGAGGAAGAGCTCGCGCGGTTGCAAGATGCGTTGCTGTGTCCCATCTGCGAGGAGAGAAGGAAGGACACGATATTCCAATGTGGACATGAAACGTGCCAGGACTGCGGCAAGCTAATCTCGCTCTGCCCTCTCTGTCGACAAGTGATCGAAGTGCGTATAAAGCGGTTTGTCTAGCAGTCGGACGATTCGTTGATCCGCATGGCGTCGTATGGGAAGGACCGCGGAGGCTCTCTGAGCAGACGGGTGTACATGCAAAGTGTCCGAAGCACACACCAGAGCAGCTATCTGCGCTCCTGATTGTGTGGATGTATTGCAATGGATTAAATGCCGGTGGCAACCTACTGGACAGGACTGTTGTTCTTGCGCTTGAGCATCGCTTGAAGCCTGACGGTCGGACCCTTTTGTGGCAGCGCGCAAGCAGGAATTGCGCACGAGAGCATGGAGACTGAAGTAGTTGTGTGGGACTGAAAGAATGTATTGCGGCCACTTCCGATGGCAACCGCGTTACGCTCCCGTTCCGCTCACAAGAGACTCGACGGACCGACCGACCGACGGCCCGACCGACTAGCTCACTTCCGGCTTCTCCTGCTTGTTTACGGTGACACCATCGAGTGGTCGCGCTTGGCACCGTGGCGGATGCACACGCCGTTGCGGACGGCACCTTTGTTGCAACCCTCAGCCTGGCAGCGTTTGCCGCCGCCGTGCGAGACACATAGCGTGCCGCCCACAGCACTCTTGGAGCAGCCTTCGACCTGACAGCGTTTGCCGCCGCCGTGCGCAATGCACAGACCTCCCAGAAGCGCTGTCTTGGTGCACCCCGGCGTCCGGCATTTGCGGCCTCCGCCGTGGGCCGAGCAGAAGCCGCCCACAAGCGCCGACTTGGTGCAACCGGCTTCGCTGCATCGCTTGCCCCCACCATGCGAGATACAGAGGCCACCTTGTTTGGCGCTCTTGTTGCAGTCTGGATGAGCACAGCGCTTGCCGCCTCCGTGTGCGATGCAGAAGCCACCGGTCTTGGCGCTCTTCTCGCAAGCGTCGGCGCGGCAGAACCGGCTCTGCTTGTGGTACTTGCAGAACGCGCCGCTCGGTCCGCGAATGGTGCGATAGCAGTCGGGCTTGGCGCACACCGTGTTGAGCATGGACGAGAGGTCGAAGCCGCCGCGGGAGCTGCCACCGGTGCTGCTGCTGCCGTCGTCGTCGTCCACCTCGGCAGTCTGCCTCATCTCTCCGTTGATGATGAAGCTGAGGCTCATGGCCGCGATGCCGCTGACAGCTTCACCGTCTCCTTCGTCCGAGTTACGAAACGGTGAGAACGCGGCGCCAGTGCTTGCAAACGTGTTGCTGGGCGTTGCGTGCTCGTCGTCGTCGCTCGACATACCGGAGTTGAAGCAGTCGCCCGCCATAGCGTGCTCTGCGGGCAGCTTGGCGGGCGCCCGACCTGGACGAGCCAGTGTCTTGGGTGGCGGCGAATGCAAATACTGGATCTGCGGAAGCGCAGCGTGTCGAGAGGCAGGTGGAAAGCTGAGGGGAGTGGAGGGGCGATGGTCGGTAATAAATGAAGGGGAAGTACTCGCGTGCATCAAGTGATGAGCGTCGAGTTGGGGGTTGGAAGCCGTGACGGAGTCTGGACTTAAGGGAGAGGGGTACGACGCGGAGTCGTGGTGTGTGTGGTGTAGTAGGATTCCGGTGCCGGAAGAGCTACTGAAGCGGTTGTATCTCTCGTTCCGGTGTTACGCGGGACGAGCAGATGGAGGTGAGAGTGAAAATCTCAAATGAACGTCATCCTTCGGGATGGTCCCCCCACCGGCTGGTCTGCCCCGGCCCTTGGCACCATGATGCCTTTTTGTGCACCGGAGCGGAGTCCGCCGCGGTCTGCCCCGTTTGCAAAATTTCAATGTTGCGGCTGGCGTCGTGGTCGCGTGCGCAGTCAAGTCTAGCAAGGAGCAGGGCGTTGACTTGACGCGGACATTTGGACGAACAAGATGTCTGCGTGCTGCAGACGCCAAGAGCTCATTTAACTGCCGAACTCTGGATGCGAGCTGTGATAGCGATGGCCCGATCGATCAAGCCCAGCGTCGCTTAGCCGGCCAGTTCATGCGGCAAGGATCGTTCGACTTCGTGCGTTTACCCGCTGCCACCAGCGCCAATGCTGCACCAGACACACTACCAGATTCGTGAGATGTGTGTGTGCTGCTGCCTACGATTGCACACGTTTCGTCATGCAATTCGTCGGACCCGCGTACGTACCACAGGTCGCTCGCAGAGTCGATACAGCAGAGCCTCCCTCCATGGCAAGCACAAGTGGTGGAAGTGGCGAACGAGAATCCTGTGCGTGTGTACATGCAACATTACCACGTGGACCGATGACACTCGTCAGGCGTGTACGTGTCCACAATCGGGCTGTTGGCTTGCTCGGGGCCACAAGGCTATCGTTGTCGCGACAACGGGATGTTGACGCACTTTATTTTCCGCCCTGCGGCGCCTCTATCCGGTTTGTGGGGTCACGTGTCCAGACGATACCGCCGGCTATCTGCCAGCGTGCTCAACACGATTCGCAGTGCCACCGGTGCTGGTTGTAGGCCGTGCCAGTGTGAAGCTCGAGTCTGGCTACGAAGCAAATCAAGTCGGTCGTGCCGCAAGGAGCAGCGAGTAACGTTACAACGGGTACATTTGACGGTCACGTTGCAAGCGATTACGACCCGAAGTCCCACTCGAGCGGATGTTCGTCACGGCTCACGATGATTTCGTGCGCCTTCGCCGCGCCCATTGTATCAGTTGCGGCTGTGGATTGGCTGGCCAGTGGATGATAGCGCACCGGCCGCTAGTAACGCGCGCAGTGCTCGTTTTCTGTCCGGCTGCAGCTCCTTGAGGCACGATTTGGACGAACGACTTCTTTTGTGATGGCCATTCTACCGGACTAAGTCGCGTGTCTGTGCAAAGCCGTTTGCCGCCGCCTCGGCCGCTCACCCACTCATTTCCCCAGCACGTGTGACGATGCCCATGAGAATGTCGGAGTCTCGTCGCTTCGCCCGACAGCTCACATTGAGCTCCAACCGGTTGTGCGCTTTGTTGCTCACTCAGCACGAAAGCAGAAAAGAGCTCGTCGACCGCAGCAGGTCAGAGCCGGTACTTGTCGAGCGTTGTTCACGCTTCAAGTCGCAAAGGACTGAAGCTCTCGTCCGACGTGTGACTCGCACTGGAGATCGTGCGTTTGCGCTCACGCACGTCCATTGAGCGAAGCTGCGATCCCACGAAGCAAGTGAGGGGATCAGTCGACATTGCTCGATACTCGCGTCTCGTTTCTTGCGCGTCCATGGCGCGTTGATCATGCAGTCCAGACGGGCTTCCAACGCAAACAAAGTCGTGCGACATGGGGCGTGGCTGTGCCTGTCTTCTGGCTCACCTGCTCAACGAGGGCTGGTCTTCCAGGCTCTTTTCCCGATGTTACAACTGGAGCAAGTGGTGTTTGTTCCTTCTCTGGAAGGACGCGCTCGAGAAACATAACGCAAACAATGACTTATGGCAAGAGCTACTACTCCTGCTGGCTGTAAGCGGGAAGGGAAGGGGACGGGAAGGAAAGGACCGCGAGAAGGACTGTGGCAGGTGTGGAACGTGCTACGCTGGACGCGAACGACATTTTGACGTGCGGTGCGTTGGCGGCAACTGTCGTGCACCGATCGGTGCGAAAAGGCTGGACATTGGGCAACCGAGTTGAACAAGTGGCAGCAGACGGGTGGCGTTTCGAGTGGCTCGGTGCTGCATCGAAGAAGAGCTACTGCTAATCAGGTGACGAGCGCGTTCTGACTAACGCATGCACATGTGCCACGGTAGATAGTACGTGATGTTAGAGAGGCTCAGCTCTGTCTGACGACCGCGTGGATGATGAAGCTGTGATACGCACAGCATGTCAAACTGCGTGACCTGTCCATCATTACATTACATACCCGTTCATTAGATCGCTCTCTCTCTCTCATCATGCTGGCAAACGCTTTGCTGTGTTGATACAAAAACCAAGCCTGTCGGCGTACTCGAGACTGTGAACGGGTAGGTCATGGCTGATGCCGTGTTTGACCCTACCGACGCATTTGAGCACCCCTTTGAGTGGTAAAGGCTATTATGGGTGATGAATCACTGGTGATCGGACCCAGCAACGAACGTCGCGGCCGTGAAAGCGCTCACAAACACATCTCGACGATGAAATGGCTTTGATCCCTCTACATGCTGTCGTCTCTTGTTTTGCATGTCGATTGCAATCGACATGCGACACACGCCGCATTGCATGCAATAAGTGCAATACCACCGTCGCGAGTCGTCTCACGGCTGCGATCTCTAGTGCTCCTCTGACTGTTTGCAGTGTCGACTGCTTATCAGCTACAAGTGCTGGACAGTCTCGCTGCAACCATTCGATAACAGGCTGCCATCCGGCAGCTTACGCGTCGTTCAGCGCGGCGACGCCCGGGAGCTCCTTCCCCTCGAGCAGTTCCAGGCTCGCACCGCCTCCTGTAGAGATGTGGCTCATCTTGGAGCCGAGGCCAGCTTGCTCGACAGCGGCCACAGAGTCCCCGCCACCGACGATAGTAGTGGCCCCCTTGTCTGTACTTGCCGCAAGGGTCTCCGCCACACTGATCGTGCCCTTTGCAAACCGTGGAAACTCAAAGACACCCATCGGGCCATTCCACACAACAGTCTTGCACTCCCTGAGCTCCTTGGCAAATGCAGCCTCCGAGTCCGGGCCAATGTCCAGCCCAATCCACCCAGCGGGGATCGCATCAGCTGCTACGACCTTTGACTGCGCCTCGGCGTCAAACTTGTCCGCAACTACGACGTCCGTAGGAAGCACAATCTGCACGCCGCGCTGCTTTGCCTCATCAAGAATCTCCTTAGCAAGTGCGACTTTGTCCTCTTCGACAATCGACTTGCCGACATCCAGCCCCTGAGCTCTGTAGAACGTAAAGATCATACCGCCACCAATGATAATCTTGTCGCACTTCTGCAGCAGCGACTTCAGCACAGGGATCTTCGTCGAGACTTTGGCACCGCCAATGACAGCACCCAATGGCCGCACAGGGGCGTCGACGGCATTCGACAAGTACTGGAGCTCCTTCTCCATCAAAAAGCCTGCCACGCTGGTCGGTATGTGCTTCGTCACGCCTTCAGTCGACGCATGGGCGCGATGCGCGGTTCCAAACGCGTCATTGACGTAGATATCTGCGCCGTGGGCGAGCTGCTTGGCAAACGCGCCACCGTTCGCAGTCTCCTCTTTGTAGAAGCGCACGTTCTCCAGCAGCACAATGTCTCCGTCCTGTAGCTCTTGAATGGCAGCGTCAACTTGAGGGCCAATACAGTCGTCGAGCTTCGAGACAGAGCTGTCGAGGAGCTCACAAAGACGCGACGCGACGGGCGTAAGCCGCAGCTCGTCCTTGACCTCACCCCCTGGACGGCCGAGATGGGAGCACAGCACAGTACGCGCACCTGCGCGTTGCAGCAACTGGAGCGTGGGCAACACGGCGCGAATGCGCGTGTCGTCCGTGATGACAGCGGGCGTCGCGTTCTTCTCGAGCGGCACGTTCAGGTCGGCGCGCACGAGCACACGCGCTCCCTTCAGACTCTGTCGCTGCGCGAGCTGCTCGAGACTGAGCTTCGACGTGCTCATGGCGCGCGTGGGGGCGCAGGTTGCGCGCGCTGTCCGCGTGGGCGTCCGCAGGAGCCGCAGCATAATCGGAAGACGGCGAAGTGATTGGATCTACTGAACGCTACGAGGGGACGAGAGATGGGTACAAAAGGGGACTCGTGTGCGACGTGGGTGGAGGAGGATGTTGGATTGCTAGAGGGTATGCTGTGTTACAGGTCAGAACCGTCGGAAGAGTCATTGGGCCTCTTGTCCGACGTGAGACTCGGGCTGAGTCAGCAGAAAACGTTGTGCTGACTCTCTTTCTTGTGGCTCAATATGAGAGTTCCTGTGAGTGTACTGCGCTGTGAGCGACTTGTCGACGTCACCTGTCAGGATCGTCGTGCAAGTGGCACGAGCCAGACAATCTGCTTGCAAAGCGCCTACAGCGTCCGCCAGCAAAACTACAGAGTGGAAAGCATAAGGAACTGTTGCGTTGAATCAAAATAGCAGTCTGAGTGAGTACTCGATGCTCGAAAGTCGAGACTGCTCCTTCGAGTTCGATGGACGTAGGAGCGCCACGAGATGGCACAGCAGCGTAGTCAGCACGATGACAATCGCTGTCGTTTGTCACTGCTGTGGTCAGGGCGAGAGCTCTGGTTGAACTTGTGAGCTGCGATGCGCGCAGCCAGCGTATGTCGTGTGGTTTAGGCTCGAGCTTTCAGATTGTTGCCTCGATGCGACAGACAAACGCTGCCTGAGACCTTCTTGGGTGATGTCGAGTTGTTTGATGTGTCCGCTTTGCCAGACGTCGGGTGAGTGTCGGCAAAGACATCATCTACCCACAAGTCGCGTAGATGCTCGTGTTTCGGCCTAACTTGACAGCTACCGGAATCATGCATGAGTCCAATGGGCGACGTTCCAGACGCGCGTCATCTAAACTCTAGCTATGTTAGCACGTACATTGACAAGTCCAAAAGGCTAACAAGAAGGTTGCACCGACAAAGTTACAAACGACTTGCAGACAGAATGATTAAGCAACAGCCATATGTGCGGCAATCGGTGTCAAAGTGTGACGTGTCGTAGCATAGAAGTTCATCTTTTGCATGCTTAACATACCGCTTGCTACCTTCAAGTCGAGTAGATCCTTCCCAACAAAATGCTGGCTTGTGCATGCCGTCGCCAGCTGTTCGTGTAACGTCGGTCGTTACTAACTCAACTTCTGGCTGCAGTAATCTTCGTTGCCCGAGACGTCTTGACACCACCAAAAATGTGTGCAAAAGTTGCGTTCAGTACCTGCAACAGAAGTGCAATGCGGCATTTACAGCAGCAATGCACGCGGGCTGACACGGAACGCAGGAGGACCCGATCAAATGGCGAATCACATCACACAAGCTAGGCAACCTGTACGTCTGTAAATGGACGGAAGGGGTCAAATTGACCATCAAAGGTTTTGCGAACAGCAAGCAATCGATGGTGTGTGTGTGGCATGAAGCATTTCACATGCTTTATCACTTGCCATAAGCCCGAGAGCTTATTGAAATGAAGGCTACAAATTCTAGCGCATCGGCAAGAACCGCTGTCTTACCTGTTGTCGACAGTGGCGCGAAAAGATGGTTGAATTCTGCGCTTGTGCTTGCCATCGACGAAAAAGTCTCATGATTGCAAGCATCAGATGATGATGGCCAACACATTGGCAGTCGACGTTGTCGGAGAATAGTTCTTCGACAAAGCCAAAGGCGGGGTTGAGGCCCATGGAGTGCATAGGTCGGTGATGAAGACTTCCGACAATAGATCTGGTGCCGCAGCTGGCACTGCAGCGAGAACTGATCGGCGGGCCACAGTCAAAGCGGACGCTGTGTCAGTTTAAAGGAGCATCTTGTCTGCAATACAGAGGGACCTCTACCGAGTCAATAAAGACTTTATATCGTACATGGTCCATCGCAGTGGACCATAATGTGTTTGCAACAAGTATGCGATTGCCATAGTCGAACCGTGAGTTATTAGACGACCAGACTTTAACCACCGCATTGGACTGTCAAAGGCCGACATCGCAGGTATCTCTCATCCAACCCCTACACCTTCCCGCATATGTACGTGGTCAAACGGCCCTGTCAGTGGCTAAAATCCCCTCCGCTTCTCGCCACTGATTCGTCCATATCTCTTCCACTCTGTACCACCCCACGAGCAAAAAGTGTAGCCATACGGCTTTCAACTGACCCAACATGCTGCGCGGCGTTCGCTGGACGCGTCGAGCGCTTCGCTTCCTCCCGCCGCAGCCGCCCGTCGCCCGCTGTTTCCACCACTCACCCGTCTCCATGGCGCGCATCCTCTGCAGTGACCCGATCGATCCCGTGTGTCCCGACCTCCTGCGCGCCGCCGGCCACGACGTCACGTGTAGCTCCTCGCGACTCTCTCATGCCGAATTGGTGGCGCAGGTGCCCGACTACGACGTGCTGCTCGTGCGCTCGGGCTCCAACGTCGACCGTCACGTGCTGGAAGCTGCCCAGAAGCTGCAGCTCATTGGACGCGCGGGCACGGGCGTGGACAACGTGGATTTGGTCAACGCGACGAAACAGGGCGTTCTCGTGATGAACACGCCGTCGGGCACGACCGTCTCAGCTGCTGAGCTCACGTTGGGGCTCATCACTGCAGTCTCTCGCCTCGGGAAAGAGGCCGACGGTGCGGAGCTCGTCGTGCGCAACTCGGAGATTCATGGCAAGACGCTCGGACTGGTTGGGCTCGGCCGCATTGGCCGCGAAGTCGCGACGCGGTGCAATGCTTTCGGCATGAACGTGATCGGGTACGACCCGATTCTGTCCAATGCTAGTGCCAAGGCGCACGGCGTTGAGCCTGTAGCGCTGGACGAGCTCTTTTCTCGCAGCGACTACATTTCGCTCCATGTGCCGCTGAATGCCAATACGAAACACTTGGTCAATGCACAGCGCCTGACGTTGTGTAAAGAAGGTGTCAAGCTTGTGAACGGAGCGCGGGCGGGTTTGATTGACCACTCGGCGTTGCTGGAGGCTATTGAAAGCGGCAAAGTGGCAGGTGTGGCTTTTGACATTGATTCGCCGTCGTCGGCACCGGACACGTGGACGAAACTCGTGAGTCATGATAATGTGATTGTGACGCCGCATATTGGCGCACTGACCGCCGACGCGCAGGAAAAGGTGGCGCGCGACTTGGCTTACAAAGTAAACGATGCTCTGGCCGGAAAGTCGTTCAAGGGTGTACTCAATGCGCCAAATATTGACTTTGCCAAGCGTGAGGAGCTCATGCCGCTGCTGTCACTTGCGGAAAAGCTCGGTAGTATGCAGGCGCAGTTGCTTGACATCAGCCGTTTGAAGCGCGTGCTTGTCATTGCAGAAGGACCCAAAGTCACGTCATCGGAGCTCTCGGGGCAACTGGTCAAAGGTGTACTGAAGGGTTTGCTTTCGCACATGCTGGAGGAAGAAGTGACGTTTATGAACGTCAAGCAGCTAGCGGACGCCATGGGCATCCAGATCGTAGAGCACAAGCACGACGAGGCGTCTGGTAGCAGCTTCTCCGACCAGCTTACCGTCATATTCGAGAAAGAGAACGAGACGTCGAAGCAGATCACGGGTACAGTGTTCGGCAAGGACCAGTTGCGTTTTGTGTCGTTCGACGGTGTCCCCATGGATGCCATTCCGAGTGGATCCATGCTGCTATTCAACAATACTGACCAGCCTGGAGTGCTGCACAAAGTGACGTCGGTCCTGGCTAAGCACAGGATCAACATTGGCTGTTTCGGTCTAGCGCGTGAAAAATTGGGCACCGCTGCTGTCGGCGTGCTTAATGTCGACGAGGCCATTCCCGACGCTGTTATCGAGGAGCTGGAAGGGCTGGGGATGCTCACCAATCTTCGTCGCGTGAACTTGCTTGGACTGGACACGACCCTTTCTGACCGCATATGGAAGAAGTTCTTGAAACCGAGTGCTAGCACTGTGGACGAAGGAGCTGCTACTACAGAGAAAGAAGCTGGAGTTGATGTTGTGCACCACCCGAAACCACGCGTCAAGCCAGCGTCACCGAACTTTGGCTCAGGACCTTGCAAGAAACGCCCGGGGTACTCACTCAGTTCCATTCCTGACATCATTCTGGGCCGCAGTCACCGTTCAAAGCTAGGCAAGGGCTTGCTTGAGGAAGCCATCGTGCGCTCGAAAGAGATTTTGAAGCTCCCGGAAGACTACCGTCTTGGAATCGTACCAGCCTCGGACACCGGTGCCTTCGAGATGGCGATGTGGTCCATGTTAGGCGAGCGTCCCGTGGATGTGTGCTATTGGGAGTCGTTCGGCAAGCAGTGGTTCAAGGACGTCACGACGGAACTCAAACTCGACAACGTGAGGGAGTTTAGTGCACCGTTTGGCCAGATCCCGGACCTCAGCCAAGTGAACTGTGACCACGACGTGTTGTTTACGTGGAATGGCACGACCAGTGGCGTTCGTGTTCCCAATGCCGACTGGATTCCGCACGACCGCAAGGGTCTCATTTTCAACGACGCTACGTCGGCCGCGTTTGCCATGGACATTCCGTGGGACAAGATTGATGTGTGCACGTTCAGCTGGCAGAAGGTGCTTGGTGGCGAGGGCGGTCACGGTGTCATTATCTTGAGTCCTCGCGCAGTGGAGCGTTTGGAGTCGTTTGTGCCTGCGAACCGCCCGATCCCTAAGATTTTCCGCATGACGAATGCCAGCACAGGTAAGCTTTTGGACGGCATCTTCGAAGGCAGCACGATCAACACGCCGTCGATGTTGTGCGTCGAGGACTACCTTGACGCCCTGCGCTGGGCTGAGAGCGTGGGTGGCCAAGACGGATTGATTGCGATCTCGCAGCGCAACTTGAAGGTGCTCGAGGACTTTGCTGTCGATAACTCGAGATGGTTCCGGTTCCTCGCAGCCAGCAAGGAGACTCGCTCCAGTACATCCGTGTGCGTGCTGATCGACGGTCTGTCGAAGCACGAGGTGAAGCAGATGCAGGAGCTGCTAGAGCGCGAACAGGTCGCGTACGACATCGGTTCCTACCGGGACGCGCCACCAGGACTGCGTATCTGGTGCGGTGCTACGGTAGAGACGAAGGACCTGGAAGCGTTGCTGCCGTGGATCAAGTGGGCGTACCTCGAGGTAAAAAGCGCCCGAGACGCTACGACTGAGTAGGTTGGCGCGTAGATAGACTCAGTGGTGTTACCACATGTAGAGAACGGAGGCGGTCATACGTACGTTTGCTTACGTCTTTGTGTGATTGCCGATTCTTCACACACACACACTTTTGCTTGGCAAAGTACTAGTAGTACATGCAGCTCGAGTCCGACGGCTGTATTTGACGGAAAGTCGAGTAGGTCACATTGGCTTTGTCCTCGTCCAGATAATCCATGAGGTATCCAGTCGAGTCCGTCAGCGGTGTTAGGAAAGGCTCAATGACATGCCAACGCTATCTATAGTGGTCATACTTTGCCAGATGTATGTCGGGAATCGGCTGGCGTTGAAGTACATACGTGCGTCTGGAAAACATGGGGTCACAAAACTCATAAGGTTGTTCGTGGCTTGATTTGCTTCGACGAGCATGTACAGTCGTCCCTTGATATAACAACCTCTGTCGCTCACAGTCGCCCCGCCAAACCTCTATATGCTGATACTTACACGATGGCCACCTAACTGTACGGCACCCAATCGCAGCCAATCAACGCCGCAACGAAACAAATACTGAACCCATTCCCAGGGTCACGACTGCTCTGCCGCCTCACTTCCAGCCATGCGCCAATCCCGTGGAGGTCGCGGAGGCAGCAACAAGTGGCGGCACTTCCAGCAACAGCAAGAGACCGACAGCAGCGCTCGCGAATCCCACTGCGACCGGCCGCAGCGCTACTTTCAGCATCCGCAACAGTTGGCCTACGAAGAAACGCGCGCTCCCGTAGCTCCGGCCAATGCCACTCGCGTGCAGAGAGACGTCGTGGCTTTTGTCGAAGCCTTTCGAGCCAATCAGTCGCATCCTGCGGCACCGCCGAATGCGTTGACGCTCGACGTCGTCGTGCGGGCGATTTGCAGTCATTTCCGTACGCTCGCGTCCGGGTACCCATAGTATCGTGCAGTCTCTTTAGTGCTAACGATTGCTCATGTGTGTGTGTGTTTGTTGCAGGTGTCGCTGCATTCGAAGACTTGATGGGCACAAGCGCTCTGCAACTACCAGCACTTCGGCAGCTGCATACTGTGAACCAGCGGGTGTGGACATTCGTCACTTGCTTCATGCAAAGTCGCCGCATCCACACGCTCTTTGAGTGTCAACAAGCCTTTCTACAGCATGAAGGACTGCGGTCCTTTCACGAGCTCAAGCTCGGCAATTCGTTCTTGCACACTGAGGCCGTGCAGCAGCTGTACCACTCGCCCGTTGTCGTGATGAGCATCACGACAAAAGAAGTGCTTGGATGTTTGCGTCAGTTTGAAGAGGTGCTGGGCCACGACGCCTTCCGGTCATCGTCACACATTGACTTGCACGAGTTTGGCCAGTATCTAGCGCAAACGTATAGGCAGCCAAGTGCACAGGCAATGGGTGTGGCTATCGACCCGTCTGGATTTGGTGTTTATGTTGGTATGCTGCGTCGTATCGCCAATCACGAGATGAAAGAGATGAAAACGCTCGAGCAACAGCTGCAACGCGAAGTTGCTGAGAAACTGTTTCGGATCACGAAGGAGAAGTTCAGCGACGGAAGTCGACAACAAGCGTTGCAGGAGATGCTTGATCAAACAAATGAGCGGTCAAGTCAACATAAAAAGAATGATGTATCGCAGCACAGACGTGACGGCAAGAAGAGTAGTATGCAGTCGCTCTCGTTGGACATGCTCAAGCGTGTTACTGATGTCGATGTATACCTGGACAACGTACTGCGGCGAAAAGCTGCAGCAGATGCAAAGAGCCAACAGAAGTTTCGCAGACCCATATCATCACAAGAGATTGCAGAGACCGACTCGAAGCTTCGCAATCAGTTGTCAAGGTTTCTAGTGTCATCGCAAAAGAGCCGACATCACTCGAGACTCAAGGTCGTGACATGGGTGATCTGCAGCATCATGGCAAAAACATACGCGTTGCTGCTAAGCGATGACAAGCTACCCGATGACGACGGCTTGGACGACCAAAAATCGGCAGCTGTGACTGAACAGGCCAAAAGTGACAGGGAAGAGTGCGATTGTTGCTGTTTGGGCGAGGACTCTTGTACATGCTCGTGCAGCTGTAAGTGCCATGTGGAATCAAGTGATGACGATGTTGAAGACGATGATCGCCAGGACGACGATGCCGAGGAGAAGATGGGGTCCAAAACTTTGGGCAAGACGGATCAGTTTCCTGCTATGCCAACAGATCCGTTTGCTAGCAGGCTGGGGAAGATCACCCTGGAAGTCGATGTGACGATGGAACAAGTGCAGACCGAGATTGAGAAGTTTGCACACATTCTGCAGTCACGCGGCGACCTACCTCAAACAGGGAAAGACATGCTGTTGGTGTTGTCTTCTCTTGAAAACCATTTGATCAGTGCGTTTTCTGATAAGAGCAGCACCATTTTGTGGGCTGGGCGGCGATCTGTGCTCGACCTTTTGTCCCACCTACTCAACGGTGCTGAGGACGAAAGTGAAGAAAACGGATTCAGCGCAGGTAGGTGGCTACTTGGCCTGATGTCCTCATCCAAACAAGGTATGAATGGCGAATATCCGTCGCAAGCGTTGGTCGAAGCGAAGCGTTTGCATGAAGAAGTCATGCCGTTTGTTCGAGAGTGCTGTGCTACCATCTCTTCGTCTTCTGCGCTGTCATCGCTTTCCAGCGAAAAGCAGCAACAATGGATCACACATCGAATTTGCGTCGCGCTCGGGTGTACGCGCACTGAAGATTGTGGACTGCCGAGTGCTGACGAGTTGACCAAATTAGTGGAGCAGGGACCTTGTGAGGTAGACAGTTCGGTGATCAAATACACCGGCAGTTTAGACCTCAACCACGGCGGCGGCAGGTATGACGACGCAGTCGCGCGCGAGGGCGCAACAGGTGAGTCGACGCGAAAGCTCCTGGCGGAGCAAGCGCTGGAAAAGCTGCGCAAATGCCCATACTTGATTGATGTATCACTGTATATGGACTGGCAAGAGCGTTATGCTCCAGTATGTGGAAGGTTGCTCTTGTTTATTCGTGTGCATGAAATGATGTTAGCTGATCATGCACCGTCAAGCAATATCCTGTTTGTGTGCTGTTTGGACGGCTCGATATTGCGCGTGAATGAAGGATCGACGTCGTCTGATCTTGAGATGCTGCTTGTACGGGCACAGGAAGATCATATCCCTGTGGCTGCCAGTCAAGTGGCAATCCACTTAGTGTCGATGCTGGTGACGTGCAAGGGCCATGCTAATTTCCCGAAACAGCTCGTCAAAGCTCACTTGTGTGCCTACTTGTCCGACCGTGCCAAGGATGAGACGGCTGGTAGCTACAGACAACGCTTTGTCGTAGAGGTGCTCATGGAGACACCCGTGGAGTTTGCGGACTTCATCATGTCGTTACTGTTCGATGTCGTCAGACAGGGTCCTGCGTCGGACGTCTTGGATGATTGGGCTGTTGCCGATCAAGTATGGAAAGCCTGCCGAAGTGATGCAGAACGAAAAATGCTAGTGCTTGTATCACGCCGATGCTCGTCGCCGTTGTGGATCGAGCAGACAGAGAGATGGTGCACGAGGCGTGAGGTTCTGACGCTTGCAAGTGTAGAAGATGATTTTGGTGGCAGATCAAACGACAGGGACAAAGGTATGATGGACATCGAGTCTATGTCTGCACCACCTGGTCCTAGAACAAACATCGGTAACGAAGTGAACGACGTGGTTTCTCATCTCTTGGACACGTTTGATTCCGAAGCAGCGTCTCAGAGCTTCCCTGACGACCGACCTGATTGTAACGCTGTCGAAAGTGAAGTCTCAGCTAGGGACGTGGCTAGCGCAGATTCGTGTCGTTTGTTTATTGAAGAGTTGTGCAAGAAGCAGTTCGGTGTTGGGCTCCACATCGAAGACGAGGCAACGACATCAGTGCTGCTCATTCAGCAGCAGCGACTCGAGCGTGCGCTCAAGCGGCTGAGTGATGAGCTCTACAGCGAAAGCACGCACTTCGTTCTCGAGCTGTTGCAAAATGCTGACGATAACGCTTACGATGATGCCGTAGTTCCCCTCGGCGAGTTCACGGTAACGGCCGACCAGGAAATTGTGTTTTACAATAATGAAAGGGGATTCTCACCAGAGAACATCCGAGCCATTTGTGATGTGGGTGCATCTACGAAAGGTGCACCTGATGCGGAGGCGAGTATCGGTAAGAAGGGTATCGGCTTCAAAAGCGTCTTCAAGGTATCCGACAATCCGCAGGTGCACTCGAACGGATTCCACATCAGCTTTCACGCTAAGGATTCTCAGCACGGCAGTGGCATGGGCTATATTCTACCGTATTGGATGGACGACGTTACTCGATGGAAACAGCGTCGCGGTACGACGTTTGTGTTACCGTTGAACAGTGCGTCGATACACAGAGCAGGTGACATTTCGCAGTCGTTGATGGCATTTGAGCCGTCCGTGCTGCTCTTTCTTCGACGCATTCGCGAACTTCGCCTGCGTGACTTGGCTCGGCAGGAGACCCTTCACTTTCTCAAGAAAGAGAGCAACTTGCACCGAGACACGCACGTTGTTCAGTTGCTTTCGCAAGTAAAAAGAAATGGGAAAAGCGAAAACGTCGCGCAGCAAAGCTGGTTGGTGGTGAAGAATGAACTGGAACCGCCGCTTCTGTTCCGTCGCAGTCGCCCGACCGAGATCGCGCTTGCTCTTCCTGTCGCCATTGAAAGAGAAAAGTCCAGTGGACGGGCCGACCGGCCACCACTTCAGCAGGTTTTCGCGTACCTGCCACTACGGTCATATGGTTTTCGGTTTATTCTACAGGGCGACTTTGAGATTCCGAGCTCACGAGAGGCGATCACGAATGGGAGTGAGTGGAATGAGTGGCTAGTATCCAAATTCCCGGCACTTGTTCGAACTGCTGTATGCAGTTACATTGCGACTGTTGAAAGAGGTGAAGAGAGCGACGGTCAATTGAATGCTGAACAAGCGGTTGCTGCAATCTCACACTTGCTTTCCTTGCTGCCTCTTGAAAACGAGGTGCAAACGCCATTCCGAAGTATGATCCTAGAGATGATGCGTGAACTTCGCCAAGTTAAATGGCTAGCCGGTGCTTCTTGCGATCCATCTTCATTAGCAGTGGGTTTATTTATGCCATCCGAGTTGATCGATTGCGTGGAGCTGACGGGCAACGACCTAACCGACGACAGTATGGCGACGCTGCTGAAAGCTCTTGGTGAAGAAACCATTGCGTCATCGCTCAACAAGCGCTTCCTGCATCCTGCTCTTTCTCAGACTATGTCGGCGTCGATGAAAAGCCAGCTGCTGATTGAGCAGCTTCATTCGCTGCATTTGATGCGGATTCTGTCGCTATCGGCGGAGAAGAACGATATCGAATGGACGGTGCAAATGTTGTCACTGCTTGCAAAGCTTTGGCAAAAGGACCGTCAGTCGCACTTGCGTCGAGAGGAGCTACGGTTGATCAAGTGCTTTCCGTTGCAGCAATCAGGCAACAACGACGGTACCGTCAGGTGGATTTCGTTAGCTGACGGCCAGGACTCTCTCTTTGTATCTGGCAACCAAGCTGGCGACCACGGCTCGACTCGCGAGAAGTCGTACAAGTTTTATGGTGACCTTCGTATTTTGGATGACAGATTCACGGCGGCTACTTTCAAGAGCTCAAAGCTGCGCGCGTTTCTGTTAAATCAAGTAGGTATCCACGTAGTGGAACATCACGACTTGATGCGACACCATGTTCTTCCGGCGATGGCGATACTGCGTTCGCCTACTGATACGGTGAACGACCAAGATACGGGAAAGCTGGACGTCGGAGTAGTCATTGAGTACGGGAAGTTTTTGTCTTCGCATCTGGTATCGTGCAATAGTTGTCCGATGCGCGACGACATCAAAGCCAACATGGTCGTTGCAGCTACCAGCGGTCGAGCTTTGGCGGTCGACGTGTCGAACTTGTTTGTTATCTTACCGTCCACTTACCGGAGTGTGTCCGAGCTGATATCGTGGATCACAGCGAAAGCCGAGACTGCTAGCTCAGACGGAAACGTCTTTGACATTGTTTCAGGTGATTATTTCCTTGACAACGATCGCACAGTTGCGATGTGTGTAAAGAAGTCCTCGGCTGAGCAATGGCGGGAGCTGCTCGTTGGTATAGGCGACTTGCCTCAGCTGTTTGATGTCGCGAGTCTGATGTCGGATCCACGTTCCCAGGCCGGAATGGAGCAGTTGCTCAAGTGGATCGAAAGCGAGGACGATATTGCATTGAAACGCAGCATTTCGAAACTTGTGACAGAAGTCTTGGACAAACTTTGGACAGCGCGAGAAAGCGATGTTGGCCTTGATCGCTCCTCCTGCATTACCTCGAATGATGAAATGGGCGACACATACGGTTGGTGGCGACAGTATTACTGGCTGGAGGGTTCCGATGGCGAGTTTTACCGCCCGATCGATCTGTGGATGTCGGTGGAATCGGTCATGCACTTGTTCACGCCTGCCATGGTTACGTTTACGGCAACGGCGTGGAAAAGCAAAGACTTTTCCAGACGGGTTCTTGGAATGCATGCGGACGCATCTGTATCTGACGTGCTTTCTACTATCTCAAGTCTCTCCGTGGACTCCTCGTTGACGTCAACACTGGAAATCAATCAGCTCGTTCGAATGTACACGTTCTTGTGGGAAGAAAGTCAACGCTCGGAAGCTCAACGTGACGATATCGCGAAGGCTTTTTCGTGCAAAAGGTTGCTGTTCGTTACGGCCATGTCTGATTCGACCGAAAGTCAGAATCGCTTCATATGTGCAAAGAACGCGGTATGGTCATCGTCGATGCACTACGGTGGGCTTGTTGCGTTGGACACTCACTACCCAAAAGCACTATGTGCGTTCTTTACTGAGGTATGCGGCGTACAGCGAAAGCCGTCCATTTCGTTTTTGTGCGAAGCCATTACTGGACAAGCGTCTTGCATGACAGAGTCTAGTAGTCGTAAACGAAGCGGACACGAGGAAATGAGTTTGTGGAAGAAGTGTCTGCTTCCGCTTTTGTGCGCAGTGTCGAAACACGTGAAAAAGCACTCGTTGTCCAAGACAGATACCAGAGAAATCAAGAAGACCCTGAAGTCGACTCATTGGCTACCAGCACGAGTTCTGGATGGATCGAACGATGGTGTCATGTTTTGTAGCTCAAGGGATCAGCCTCTACTAGCGACAACGGAGAGCGAGAAGAAGCTGCAGAAGCTGGTATTCTCGATTGCTAAAACGATTCGTGCGGGCTGTGATGTAGACCTCGATGAAGGTCAACAGACGAAAGTTAGAGAAGGTATCAAAATCATACAGCTACAAGTTGTCGAGGGCGACGGTGATCTTGATGCGCTGCTTGGTTTTGCAAAAATCATGCCGTTAGCCGTCCATCTCGAGACCCACGTGGGCACCTGGTGTAAAGCGTTTGCCCGCTTCACAACGTCTTCTCAGCTCGATAGCAAGAAGGGGCGAAAGAAGTTGCTTAAGCTCGGACAGCTTTTGATCAAAGCATGGGCTAGTGCGTCGTTCTCGCTTTCGTCGGATGACAATCGGGAGATTGAATGGAGCTTGCAGAATGCACGCATCTTTCCAACGATTGATGATCGTCATCAATGGGAGCCTGCCTCCAGTCTTTACATAAACGATCAAAGCGAGTTGTCCAAGGAAGATCTCCAACAACCAGGACAAGCTGGGCTGGTGATGTTGGGATTGTTTCCATGGAACTATTTTGTGAATGGTTCAGCAAGTGAAGGTAAAAGCAGCGAGGCGACACAAGTGCACAAGTTCCTGACCAAGTTTTGTCGTATGAAGTCGCTCAAAGAGCACTTGCAGTATGAATTCAGTGTGCTTAGCACGCAACAGGCAGCGAGCGAGGCGTTTCATGCGAAGATCCGCACTGCATTTGCTGTGGCCCAGCGATGCTTGTTTTACAACCACCGGCAGCTGTATGATCAGCTACACCACGACTCGATCGCGAAGCTCGCATCGGAGCTTCAGTGTGTTCTGGTTGACGGTCAGGATGGGTTTCAAGTGGTGTATCGAGTTGGAAATGCGTTCAGCCTTCGCCGCGGAGTGAATGCATTGTCACATTGCTTCCTTGATGTCCTGAAGAACACAATGTACTTGTCGTCCGTGACGGGAGACGAAGAAGCGAGTGCACTCTCTGTGGTGTTAATGGAGCTGTCCAGGAAACTCTTTGGCAGCCAAGTGGCCGCGAGCGTTGCGAATGTGCTCTATCTCAGCTTGATGCAACCAAATGCTCTCGTGAGGGAGCAGTGGCTAGTAGGGACGCAACTGTTGCCTCCGTTATCTGCCAGTGAAGTGGGAAGTGCGTGGGTAGAGCAATGTTCCACAACGTGCACGCTATCTGGTACCGGAAGTCGCAAGCGGACATCAGGGGACATCGAAGATGGCGAAATCGCTGCAGAGAATGGTCCCGTGGAAAAGTGCATTGCTGGAGAGCAGAACTACCGCAAGACACAAGACACATCGTTGTTCTCGACAAACTACGCAGCCACATACGGGGAAAAGCATAACACACTAGTGCCGAGACTTCCGTACCAGCCCCTTCCACCGCAGTCAGCATACGGGAATGCTGGTGGAGCACAGTACCATGCACCGATGCCTCCTTCATCGTTTTCGGGGCCGACGATGCAGTCTCTGTCATTGTCGAACACGATGACGAAGGAGGAGCGAGAGGCTATCGGTCGCTGGGGTGAGGAGTACGTGTTTAACCAGCTCAAGCAGCAGCAAGCGGAGAACGAGTCAAACCTGACTGTGGAGTGGATGAACGAAAAGGAGGAATCGGGTCTTCCGTATGACCTCACATTGTCATCTGGAAACCAGGTGGTGGAGTTTGTCGAGGTAAAGTCTACGCGGACGATGGAGAAGGGTGTGTTCGAGATCAGTATGAATGAGCTGGACCAGGCCGCAATCCACGGTTCCACATACTGCATTTATCGCGTGTTTAACGCAGGCAACGCTGCATTATGCCGAGTCATTCGTATGAAGAACCCTGTATCGCTGGTGCGCCAGCGCAAGATTCAGCTGGCACTAGTGATGCAGTAAATACTTTACATAGTGATTAGAAAGTATATCGTCATATCATTTATTGCACAGACTTACCGCGATAGCAACTGCCACCACACCTCGCCGATACATTGTACCCATCCGCTGCAGCTCACTCCATAGTGTCCATGCCATTTGCACTGTCGACGACCATGCGCTCGCCACCTTGCTGGTTGTGCACACCGATTCTCGAGCGTCGATCCTTGTCCTTTTGTAGACGAGACTGGAACTTGGCGCTCGTGACAAGTTCGGCATCGATGCAGCGTAGTTGCTTCGCCACCGTCACGAGTTTTGCCATTTCATCCTGTAATCTCATGGTTGCTTCGCCCTGCACTTCGTCTTGGTACGCGCTACCATCTTCACTCTCGTGTACAAAACGAACCATAGCCTTCTGCTTGTCAATCACAGCGTCCATCTGGCCGTTCGATACAAGCGTCAGCAGCATCTTCTCGGTGCCAACCGCATCGCCACTATTGATTCCTGCGGCTGCTGCAATCTTTGTGAGCTCAATGGTCGCGTATGTGCGCGTAAGTTGAAGGAGCTTTCGCTGCTTGAACGCCTGTACGACCTGCTTCACGAGACCGAAATTGCCCTCTCGAACAAATAGTTGCTCGTTCTTGGCAACAACCGCCTGTACGGCATCCAAGTCCTTTTCGATCACAAAGGCATTGACCAAACTGGCATACGCCGCGCAGTGACTTTCAACGTGACGCGTGACCACGAACGGCGTGTACTTTGGCAGCACTACTGCCTCGCCGCGTAGAATGAGCGTCACGAGTGCCATCTTCTTGTACGCTTCGATCACGAACGCACTGAGCGACACCGCAGGAGCTGTAACGGCGAGCTGGAGAAAGTCAAGAGCATCCTGGTACCGCTTCTTCCCAATATACAGCAGTCCTCCGTAGTAAGCATAGCCCAAGAAGTCGACAGCATTTACAAGATGCGACTGAGCGTGGATTTCGACCAAAGTCCTGAATCAGACAAAACAACAGTGTTTTCAGAAACGCATGCATTTGCCCCCCCGCTCTTTCCAAAATGCGAATAAAACGGCAGCACTTACTCATCCAGTACCTCCGTTGCTGCAAAGTAGCACTTTGCATGCAGACATAAATAGAAAAAGGGAGCGTGCAACGGCGTGACCGCCATGTAGCCTTGCTGGTGGAAGCGGCGCAAGAAGCTCTTGAGCGGGAAAAGGGTCGAGATGCTCTGCTGCATGTCGACCGCCAGTCTCGCGTACTGATCACAGAGCACGCTCACTCGCTTCATCTCCTTCACAGCCACTCCCAGCGGAATGTCGTGTAGCAGCTGCGAGACTTGCAGCAACACTTTTTGTCCACCGGCTGCGAGCTCGTCCACACGTCTCGCTTGTTCCACCTTCGTAGCCTGAGCCGACCTATAAAGCACACAACAGCATCTCAGTACATTACACAAGTAGCCGAACCTCTATACTTTGATACCGTACAGCAGCAACAAGAAGCTCAGCGGCAGGTGCTCGACCGTAAACGTGTCGTGGCTCAGGACTGCGTCTAGTTGGGCAACAGAAGCCACACGAATGGCCGCTGTGAGCTCTTCTCCACCCAGCGCATGCGCCAGTCGATCGTCTTGGTACTTGGGATCCACACCGCCGTCGCTGGCGCCCGGTCGAGGCGCCAAGTGCCGTCGAATCGCCTGCAGCGGACCCCACTCCATGACACGCGCGCCCGAGCTCGTCGTGGTTTCGAGAGGTGGATATAAATGGTGTAAACATGGTGTAATCCGGAGTACCGGCGTAAGTACGGTTTTGCCCACTAGTCAGCACCAGTCAGTAGTTAGTCACACGACACTATGGCGTCCCGAACCCCTGCAGCGGTGCGGGAATTGGTCGGACAGCCGCTCAAGGAGCTCGGGGAGCTCTACGAGAACTCGCTCAAGGCCATGCTCGTGTGCGGGCTCGAGTTCTATCTGTCGGCGTCGCTCATGGCGTCGTTCTTCCAGTGTCCCGACGAGGCCGTGCAGGCGGAACAGGAGCTCCGGACGCTCTATACATTGGCGTGGGTGCCCATGGTGCTCGCTGCTGTGCTCGTGTACGGCCCGAAGCTCTCGGCGTCGATATTCCCGTCGCCCGAGCACTTTGAGCGCAACATGCTGCGGTGCAAGATCCTCACGTGGCTGTACGCGTTCGTGTTTCTCATTTGGGACCCCGACATGGTCGTCAAGACGGGCCCGTCGTTGGGCGTGTCGATTCTCTTTTCGATCGCAGATCTCGGGCGCTTTGTCATGGACATGAAGCTCTTGACGGATATTGAGTACGACGAGAATGGCAACTCGTTCATCGTGCAGGACAAGACGTCGAGTCCGAGTGACGAGCAGCACCAGGAGGGAGAAGCCAAGGACTGTCTGCGACTCGAGCAGGAAGATGCAGGGAGTTACACGGTCCACGTGATTGCTACAGCTGCGAAGACAGTGCCACGAAGAGCAGGCTTGACCAGACAGCAGGCTGCTGCACGGTTGGATGCGCGTCCGCACGAGCATCAGCTTCAGTCCGAGCAGTCTGACTGTCCACAGGAAGGACCATTCTCGTCGTTGGTAGGGACCGGACTGAAGCGTGATCGAAGCCGGCGACCTGGACAAGCACGCAGCGGCAAGTGTGTCCAGGAGTCGGGACTGGACCAGTCTCCGTGTACGACCAACAGCGAGTACGTTGCCGTGCTGGATCATACCGCAGAGGAGCACGTGGCCGAGTTAGGTGCCAAGAAGTCCATCACGTACGAGTTTTGAGTCGTTCGGGGTGTAGGTGTGCAGGTGTGCAGGCAGAGACAGACATTCTTTCTGTCTGTCTGTCTTTGTCTGTCAGTGAGTGAGTGCGTCGTCCATCCATGTAAGCTAATGAATCCGAAACCCGTCCGACGCTCGCACGACGGTGCACACATCACGTCGCACACAAAGAAAGCCCGAAACTCGAACCCTACTCGTCTTGCAACGACCTATTGCTGGTCAGCAGCGACTGTGCCAGGAGGACGTGGTGTGTACCCTCTCTGCGACACGCGCGCCCTCGGCCGCCAAAAAACGTACCCTCGTATTCCACCCCGGGGAGGGAGGGGGTACGGTTTTGCCCTTCACTGGATGGAAGTATAGAGAACGCCCATGCGGGTGCTGAGTCTCACGACTGGAGGAGACCCGGCAGTTCAGCGCGAGAACACGACAGGCCACGGCGTCGTCGTCGCCCGCTCGCTCTCCCCCCTCTCTCCCCCTCGCGCTCTCGTGCCTCATGGCAACGCCCGCCACGCCCGCCACGCGCTATTGCGTGTGCCAGCAGACGGACGGCGCCGGCATTATGATCGAGTGCAGTCGCGGCACCGGCGGCTGCAACGGATGGGTCCACCCCACGTGCTGCGGACTGATGCTGACGCGAGAAGAGCTCGAGGCGCTGAGCGCGTACATTTGCCCGCTCTGCGAGACGCCCGACGACGACTTTACGGCCTCGACGGCGTGCAACACGCGGCTCGCGAACCACGAGGCCACGCGCCAGCGCCAGCTGCAGGACCAGCGCAGCCGCAGCGTCGCTGAGAAGAATCAGAAGAATCAGAAGAATCCAAAGCAGTTGACGAAGAAGAAGACAAAGGCAAAGACGACGCTGTCGACGAAGAAGGACCCGTGGGTGTGTGCAGCGTGTCAGCACCCGAATCGCGACCGCCGCACGCGGGAGTGTGAAGTCTGCCACACAAAGCGCGTCATGGACAAGCGGACGACGGCGGGGCAGCAAGTGGCGCCGTCGGACCAGGTGCTGGAAGACCGCGAGATGGCGGAGCAGCTGCTGCTGGTGCAGGACGAGCGACGGCAGAGTCGACGCGCAGTCAACAAGAAGCGCAAGTCGTACCACGTGCCCAACTCGGACGATGACTTGGGCAGCTCGGACAGCAGCGACGACGGGAAGAAGCGAATGGAAACGAAGCAGAAAAAGCACAAGAAAAAGCGCACGACAAGAGGCGACGAGAGCGAGTCGGACGAAGCCGAAGTGGAGCTCGATCCTGGGAAATTGAAGACTGATGGCGGGGGCAGCAAAAAGAAGTCACTGGAGCAGCACGTGGTTGCCAGTATGGTGATCGACAAGATCATGGGCGTGCGACATCGCGATCAGGTGGCGTTGGCACTTGTTCGATCGACAGACTCGGCCAGCCTGGACGGTAAAAGTGCTAGTCGACCGCTGTTGGCGACTGCGTCGGATACTGAATATTTGATCAAATGGAAAGGCTTTGCGTACATGCACTCGTCGTGGGAGACGCCCAAAGTGCTGCTGGAGATGGACCCACTGACTAACAAACAGAAGATCAAGAGGTTTCATGAGAAGGAACAACAGCGATTGCAGCACCCGCATCGTCAACTACGAGAAGCGGACGAGGGTGCGACAGCGGTGGATGAGCTGGAATACTACAACCCTGAGTACCTGGAGATCCACCGGATTATCGCTCACCGACAGGATCCGCCGATGCCTCCTGATGTCAATTTTCCGGATGCACCGGTTGATGACGGCATGCGCTACTACATCAAGTGGCGTATCTTGTCGTACGCGGAAGCTACATGGGAGCGGGCATGCGACATTCAAGACGATGCCGCGCTTGGTAAATACAAGGCGTCTATTGTTGTGCCTGACGAGGAGGTGTGGAAGCGACGGCCCCGACCAAGCATCCGTGAGTACCGAAAGCTGGAGGAATCGCCAAGGTTTGGTGAGGACCAGTCACTTTCGCTCCGTGCGTACCAGCTGGAAGGGTTGAACTGGCTGCTTTGGAACTGGTATAATGAGCGACCAAGCATTTTGGCGGATGAAATGGGACTCGGTAAGACTATTCAGACCCTCGCATTCTTGAACCTCCTTCGTGACGATGCTAAGATTACGATTCGCGGTCCATTTTTGATCGTGGCGCCTCTGTCGCTGATTGTGCAATGGCAAAATGAATGCGAAATGTGGACCACGATGAACTGCGTTGTATACCACGGCAACACCGCGTCCCGCGAGATCATTCGCGACTACGAGTTTTACTACTTGGATGACAGGCTCCGTCCTGACAAGAGAAAGCCATACCGCTTCAACATACTCGTGACGACATACGAAGTAGCGATAAAGGACATTGGTGTTTTATCGAAGATTCACTGGCGCTGCCTTGTGGTTGACGAAGCTCACCGGCTAAAAAACCAGTCCTCGCGGCTCGTCGAGCAGATGCGTTCTTTGCGCCGTGACCACTGTGTACTGCTTACGGGCACGCCTCTCCAGAATAAGACAGAAGAATTGTGGGCACTGCTGAACTTTCTGGATGCACGATCCTTTCCAAGCGTTGCGGACTTCCTCGACAAATTTGGTGACCTTCACGAGGCGCAACAAGTGGCCGACTTGCACAAGATGTTGAAGCCGTATCTACTTCGTCGAGTCAAGGAAGATGTTGAGAAGTCGTTGCCTCCGAAAGAGGAGACAATTGTTGAAGTGGAACTCACACCGGTCCAGAAACAGTGGTATCGTGCGATATACGAGAAAAACACGGCATTTTTGAACCGCGGCGGGAACCCCCGCAATGTGCCGAATCTGATGAACGTGATGATGGAGCTCCGTAAGTGCTGCAACCACCCGTATTTGAACAACGGCGTGGAGAGCATTTTGAATGAGGGGTTGACCACCGATGCACAGCGTCATGACATGATGGTGAAATGTTGTGGCAAGATGGTATTGATCGACAAGTTGCTACCGCGATTGAACGACGGCGGACACAAAGTGCTTATTTTTAGCCAAATGGTCCGCGTGCTTGACATTATCGAGGATTATCTGCGCTACTGCGGGTACCTGTACGAGAGGTTAGATGGTAACATTCGTGGCAACGATCGTCAATCTGCTGTGGATCGGTTTGTCAAACCCGAATATAAGCGGTTTGTGATGCTGTTGTCGACCAAGGCTGGTGGTTTGGGTCTGAACTTGACAGCTGCAGACACGGTCATTATATTCGACAGCGATTGGAATCCCCAGAATGATCTGCAAGCTCAAGCTCGCGCGCATCGTATAGGCCAGACACACTCGGTGAAAATATATCGCCTGATCACGCGTAAGACGTACGAGATGCATATGTTCCACAAAGCGTCTCTGAAGCTTGGACTGGACAAGGCCGTCCTTACACACATGCGTCGTGAGAACATGGAAGAGGGTGGAAAGAAGCGAAGTAAGGGCGCTAAGGCGCAAGAATCGAAGGAGATCGACGATTTGCTGAAACGTGGTGCATACGACGTGTTTCGCGACGATGATACTGCAGGTGAACAGTTTTGTGCTCTTGGCATTGATCAAATCTTGCAGCGCTCGTCGCAAATCGTGCAGTACTCTGAGCAGGCGCAATCGAGTTTCTCAAAAGCGAGTTTCGTATCAGCTACTACCTCGGATGATGTGGATCTCGACGATCCCGATTTCTGGAAGAAGGCTGTAGGTTTGGTGGAGCCAGACCCAGTGGAAACAGAGGTTTTGTTGCCGCACCAGCGAAAACGGACTCGCGTTGCGCGATTTGGTGACGGCGGAAGTTTCTCTGACGGTAGTGCATCAGATGAAGAGTACGAGCACGAAAAGCAGGAGAAGGAAAAAGAAGAACGCGATCGGCTGGAAGAGAAGAGCGCGCCGCGAGAGTGGACTCAGAACGGACGCGATCGCTTGCAGCGTGCGCTGATGCATTACGGCTTTGGTCGTTGGGAGGTTATTCGAAGCCAGAGCGGCGGTAGTCGTTCAGTGAAGGAGGTGGAACGCTTTGCACGTGGGTTTATTTATGCATCGGGTCTGGCTTGTGATGAGCGCAAGGACGATTCTGCGTTCGTGAAAGCATCGATTTACGCAGCGGCGTTTGCTCGAACGAATAGCATGATTGATGAAGAAGAGCTGTCAGCAGTCCTGAAGGAAGATGATTTTGTGCTCAAATTGAAGCAGGGTGGTGGCCGACGTGTGCTCGTTCGACTAGATATGCTCCGAAGGCTCCAGCAGCTCCTCACGACAGCTTGCGATGTGTGCGACGGGCTGTACAAGGATGATGAGAATAAGGCGAAGACAAAGCCGAAACCGACCGCTAGTATTGATGAACGCGCCCGATACTACGGTGTGGATAAGCTTGTCCCGCACATCGAGTTGGTGGACTTGGGAGAGCGACCAGCGTGGACGCAAATTACGCCATGGTGGAACGAGGAAGCCGATCGCAACTTGTTGATGGGTGTATTTCTTCACGGATACGGTCGCTGCGCCCAAATTCTAGCCGATTCGCGGCTGTATTTTTCTCGCTTGGAGAAAGCTGCGCAAACCCATGTCGAAGCAAATAACGTAAGCGGGGCCGGTGAGACAAGCGTCGTCCGTCCGACCGCGACTCCGGTAAAGTCGGAGGGCACTGTGGTTCTGGATGAAGTTGGGGATGCAGAAATGAGCGACGTCGACACGGAAAGCGTTACAAGTTGTCCGACCGATGACAGCTACTACAAGACTAGTGATAGCTCTATGCAAGTCAACACCGAAGCTGGTGCTTCATCTGAAAGCGGTATGGGAGCAGCAGCGTATACGTTTAAGCAGCCAGAGGTGCAGCATATGAATCGTTTGCTGAGTTGGCTGTTGTCTGCGGAAGAGATAAAGCGCCGCCACGAGAAGGACCGATACAAAAAAGAGCGCGTTGCTACGGAACAAAGGCGTCAAGTTGCTCAGGAAATGCGAGTGCGTGCTTTGGCTTTGCGTCGCTTGGAGCTGAAGGCTATGCAGCTCGCGCAAGTTGACATCCTACGGCACATGGCAGTGCTGCACAATGCTCGCCAGCTTCCGGACGCCGCGTTTGTCGCCGCGCCACAACACCGCATGAAAAGTACCGACTGGACCAAAGAGGAGCGTCGCTCCTTTGCATATGTGTTGGCTCTGCATGGCGCACCCCGGATTCTGGCGAAACGTGCCGTTGTTGGTCCGGATGGTAGAGCAGCTCCATCGGGACTGCCATTTGTGACAGAGCACGCACGCGGGTTTTCGTGGGAGACGGATAGTGTTTCGTGGCGCAATATCGTGGAGTGGGCTAATCTGAACAAGACAGCCACTCTTACACGAACGTTTTACGAGACAAAGTTTGCTCCGAAGTGCCGTGAGGTCGCGCGTATGCGAGCAGATCCGCTCGGTTCAGACCAGCGTGCGGTGGCGTTGGGCGATCTTATTGGTATTGAGTTTGTGGACGCTTATGAGGGTGTGTTGGCACATGGGCTCAAGGCTCGCAACACTGCTTGGGTTACGATGCGGCGCACTCAACTGCTCGAAGATGTACTAGACGTACTGTCGAACCGACGAGGCGCACTGGAAAGTGTTCTTCGATCCGGAAAGCAGGGTCTGGTGGAGAACATGCCGGTTTGGTGGTGTCCATGGATTCACGACCTGGGCACCTTGTTCGGCATGGCTCGATACGGTATATACGGCTGGGAGCGCATAATGCTGGACCGTCAGTTGCCGTTCCACCGCCAGGCGCGAGAGCACCACATCCGTACGGTGTTTTTGGAAGGCACGACTACGTTTCGTCCTCTGTACCGCCATCACTTCGAGTCGATCGCGCAGATGAACGACTGGTTTGTGCGCGTCATGAACGAGTTTCCGTCTTTTTCAGTACTGGAGCGAAAGGTGGAGATGATTTGCGCTATTCTATTAGAAGAGCAGGGTAATGGCGCTGAGCGCTATTTGGAGCCCGAAGATCGACGTGAGTTCAGTCTGTCGCCACCAGGCAATTGTTTTGAAGAGCTGATAATGGCTCGAGTAAAGCGGGAGGAGGACTTGCTTCCCAGCATCGAGCCCATCACGACGAACGACTTGCCGGTAGAGTCAGGAAGCGGTGGTCCCTCAGACACACTAGCAGCGTTCTTGCGTGAGTCAAAGAGCCGTCGTGACGAGTACTTCCGTACACTTGAAGCATCGAACGCAATTGGTTCCCACACATCTGCTCATGTAGCCACAGCCGGCGAAGCGTTTGCCTCTGCAATGAAAGACGAACACGAGCAGCACGCAGGTGGTGATGAAGAGCGGAAGCAGGTAGCGTCGTCGCAGATCCCCATTCAAATGCTGGTTTCGTAGACGTCTGCTTGTACTCGAAGCATATTTGCAACCCAGACCCTGCTGCTGCAAGATGATCAATAGCACTTGTCTTTCTCGGGAGTTCAAGATTGATGTGGCTTCACAACATCTTTCTCATGTCTTTGGGTCAGGAGCGACGTCAGCCCGAGCCACTGTTTTGCATCGATGATACAATAGCCACAAAAGCTCAGGCGGTGGCGCTGGACCACCGGAATGTAGACCTGTTGAAACACCGTGAGCTCGTCATGTTTGAAGTAGACGAGCTTTGCACACGAACGTCACTCGGAACACCAGGTAGGATAGAAGTCAGGTAAACAAGCGATTGCGAATACCACTTGATGTTCTTTCTTCCTGCGGCTCACCTGTTACCTGCTAAGCGTCTAGTGCAGCAGAGTCGTACATCACTGCGAAAACTTGCCCGAATGAAATGATCTCGAAGACTCCTCCAGTTGGCGCAACCACTTGACTTCAGCCTACTACTTGCGTTCACCACATCCATTGCACGAACGCAACACGAGTGCTGCTCTACAAACTCAGTTATCACGATGGCTCGACAAAGAGGTCTAGCCTCAATTCACCATCACAACATCACCGCTAGTGCATCGAAAAGCTCTATCGCAGTGCTGCGGCTACAGGATGTGCACACTCACTTCGGTAGCAGCCTTCAGACCATTCAGATTCCCCGTGCCTCGTTGACCGCAATTGAACAACACATTCCCTCGTACAAAGCTTTGATCGCAAGTTTGAGGCGAGCGGAGCTGCGACAAACTTGGACATTGTGCACACACACACATGTTCAGTACCAAGTACGTCACTTTGTCATGCATAGATGTCCAAGTTCCACAAGCGGTCCGATCGGTAACGCCTGATGCTGCTGAAAGGGTCCGCTGAGCAACAATCCATTCGGGAAGTGGGTTCTCGACAAATGTTTGCTGCTTCGCACCTCTAGAATATAGAGGAGTGTCCACACGGCCAGAGCTTTACGTGTGGCTGCATCACGAGCAGCGAGTGCAATACCTCGAGGAGCTCGCAAAACATGTATGACGATCATGTCATGCCTAGAGTGTGACGAAGAGCGTGATCCTGCCTTCCCAGGATCAAACCTGTGGTTGTCAGACTGCTTGATAGACGACAGGCAATGCCATTCACGGATCGCAATGATGAGAGTATCGCTACCTGGTTCAAGACAAGCTCGATCAAGGAATCGGTCTCATCTTACAGCATCCAGTTCGCTCGACGCATTCTCCCCATGGATTGCGGCCGCGTGCAGTCAATGACGACACGATTCATCCGTGAAGCCCCACGACGCCATCACGCAAAAGTCCACCGTGTGTAGCTCCTGGTCACAAAGAGCCTGATGAATCCACGCCGGTGCGGTACAAAATCACTTTACCGACAGATTAGTCGCGTCCGTCTCCAGCAGCTTGACGACTTCCAACGCAATGTAGGGCTGAACTGCTAGAGGTGCGTCAACACTGGTGAACATTATCGCTCCATCTGTGTCGTCAACCCTTTCGGTGGTCGAAACGATCTTTCAGACGCGATGATGCGCCGCACTGGCGATGCAGTTGCTCCGTCTCACTTCGCTACAACACCAGAATCTCAGGTACTGAAGCCCTGCGTCGTCGGTCGTGATCTGCACGAACTGCTGTCATCTCGTCGCCTGTGGGAGCTGTGTAGCTGAACCGTATCACTTACCGCCTTCATGCCCGTTGAAAAAACCGAACAACAAGGTCAACGTAGTGGCGTTCGTGAGCTCTGGTTTAGCACTGTCTCGTTGATACATTCAGTCTTTCTGGTGACATGCGCCGCTGTTCAGAAACTTTGTCGGTCTGCTAACATCTGCGACACAAGTCGATGGCCCACTAAAGCATCGTTTTCCACTCTTTTTTCTACCTTTTACGTGCTGCATCTTCGGTTGCCTCTTGTTGCGAATTCGCAACATCCTCTTTGCAATGCCTAAGAAGCTCCAAAATTGGCGATTGTTTTTCAAACACAGTATGTAATGACAGCCTGAGGTTTATTTACCCCATGCTCGACTCATCATCTCCTTCGAGCGTCTAATTCCTTCATCTTCGTCAAAGCTACAGACGGAGCAGACTTAGCAAAACGCAGGATAAAGCAATGTGCGACGGAGTGAGTCGTTGCGTATTTCAGCAACAGGTCGAATGTTCATGCGAATGATAGCATTTCGTTATTATAACATTTGAGACAATGTAATTGGAGTGGAATGTTAAACCTGACTGTTATAATAAGATCCGTCAAGGTTGAATTACAAATCAATGCAGTAACTTCACACAAAATTAGAATGCACTGATTCATCGAGTAAAGAAAAACGCAGTACAAGGTTACAAAGATTGAACCAGATGATAAACTGAGCAGAATTGTATCAACTATGTGTACTATATGCTCAAACACACCCATAGATCACCGATAGTAATCGAGTTGGTCGTTGAAATGCATTCTTACATCGTAGCAATCAGGGAGAAATAGACATCCTGATGATTCGAAAGTGTCTGGTCATTTGTGTATCCATTGATCACATAGTATAACACTACGACTGCG